TAACGAATTAAATAATCCGTTATTACGAATTAGTAATCCGTAATAACGAATTAATAATCCGTAATAAAGAATTAATTATCCCTAATAACGAATTAAATAATCCGTTATAACGAATTAGTAATCCGTAAAAACGAATTAAATAATCCGTAATAATGAAATAATAATCCGCAATAACGAATTAATAATCCGTAATAACGAATTAATAATCCGTTATAACGAATTAGTAATCCGTAATAACGAATTAAATAATCCGTAACAACGAATTAATAATCCGTTATAACGAATTAGTAATCCGTAATCAGTAATAACGAATTAAATAATCTGCAACATATATACTTGCAGTGGCGCTAATGGGCTTTCGTACATATCGCGTACGTCCTTACAGTACAATTAACATACAGTGTGTGCGCATAGTTATACGGCACTGAAATGGAACGCGCGCTGAAGTGTACATTGTTGGGCATCTGGTAAGGCGTAAACTAAGAGATTTTCCCACTTTTGTTTTTTAAGATACCGACTTAAAGCAATTCCGACTTGAGTCGAGTCTAGAAGCTCATAGGCCCTAGCACAATCGCACGTGAGTAACAGGCGTCGTCGGCAGGCAAATAAAAGTTCGAAAAAAACATGCGACTAAAAACCGCCGCCCCCAATAACTTTGGATCGTTCGAATCACTTGTATAATTATGACCACTTCATTTTTTATAAAAGATTCACACATCTGTTTCTACTACGAAAAAAATACTATTCACACTATGCTAAACTATAGAATTTGTTGCAAAATCAAATCTCGCGATGTGGAGGAGGATCCAAATATGTGTTTACATAGAATCATATGTTTTAACGCTCGGGTAAAAAAAACAAGTCATAAAACAAAATCAGAGTTCCGAAGTTTTTGTACCAAAATTATTGTTTTTAAATAGAGCGCAGAATACGCTTCTGCATGTGCGTTTCAAGGTTTCCGTTTGACCAGTGCCTTAAACGTCTTTTTTTAAGTTAACAAATATATCTCCGATCAGTCTTAGAGCAATTAAATGACGATACACAAAACCCCTCCTCTTACCGGACCCGACAATAAAATTCCCTGACTTTTCCATGCCCAAGTCGTGAAAAACCATGATCAGTTCATCAAAAAGCAGATCATCAAAACTATGAAAACTTGTTCCGGGATATATAGGAGTGCTTAACAGAAACAGAAAAACAACGCAACGCATTTTGTTGGGTTTGTCGCATTTCGTTGGGTATAAAAATCAGAGTTCTGATTCTAATTTATTTAAATACAAAAGTTTAAGTTGTATTAAAAAACAAACATAATTTTTCGCGCTTTTTGTCTTCTTTACTCCATGACTTTATCAGGCCTGGAATTGAAAATACATTTCCAAGATTTTTTTTCCAGGCCGCGAAAACCGTACTGGGGTGTCAGTATAAATCAAGACGCCTTTTTAAAAATTGTCTGATTTAAATCCTTGTAAAAAAATACTTGTGAAATTGAGATTAACTGTGAACCACTTTACATTGAATTCTGACTCCTGTTCATTATCTAAGCATAACAATTCGAAAGTCCCATCTTCACGTTTTAACCAAACACTGGAAACGTTTGAAAAATTGAAATGTAGGATGGGTTTATCTGCGCGGTCAAAGGTCCCCGACTTAAGCTCAGAGTCCTATCTGCATGTACCCTGGTTAGCAACTCCGTTTCAAGGGTCTACTTCAATCTTAAGACAAAATTAGACCGGGCAAGGTTTAGGGGTAATATAATATCGCTCTATTGTTCATACTGAAGCAATTCGTCGTGTCACCAGATCGGAAAATAAACAATTTTTTTAAAGTTCCCCCGTGTTAATCTTATCCATCCGAAATTCAGTTTTAATCTTAGTATGATAATAGGCCTAAACAAATTGAAAAAAGGAGAATAATTTTTGAGGATTGGACATGATAATTCACAATGATCGTCCATACAATTAACACCTGCAATTTAATGACTAAATGCAAGATATAAATTCAATACTTGCATTCTTGCTGTTACAGGACTTAATCAGAATACAATCATGATACGTTAAGTAAATAGCGCCACCGCTAACAGGGAAACCCCGATATGAGCAATGTCAATTCCGTTCTCTATTTTAGGCAAAGTTTGCCCCATTTTAATTCTCTGTGCAGTGAATGTTGAAGGGACACAGGTCCTGGAACAGCCCAATTGGGCTACAAAACGCGCTTTGAACGAGTTGATGTTTATCGGAAATAACATTTAAAAGTAGTATACAAACTTCTTCACAACTATCCTTTCAAAACGGGGCGTTTTGTGTTATTCCTGTATTATGCGTGCGAAAACGAATTTTGGGGTCCTTTTCCGACCCCATAAATTCGAACTGGTTTTTTTTTTCTTCTTTTTCTTCTTTGCATTTGTGATTGGTCACTGCTGTTCCTGCTGTTTTTGGGGTTTTTTTTCGTCTTTTCTCGGGAACGGTAAGACATTAGGTTGGTTTCCTTTCAACCAAATGTTTGAAATAGGCTAAGTTAATATTGGGGGATTTCAGGACCTTGTTCCCCTTTAAGAACTGAATAATAATAATGCACAATGTACTCACGTTCGCTTTCCTTCTCGCTCACGCAAGTTTACAGAATAACATATTATTTACAGTCATGATTTTGCGTTCGATGAATTAGAAATACTTAGAAATGATATTGGAATTAGTATCCGATGGATAGAGAGAACAGAGCAGTGCGATTATAGCCAAACTTCAATCACATTTGGTTTGGAGAAGTTAAATAAAACTTCGTGTGCCATCTTCCGAGCACACTGTTTTCAAGAGACGACTTCTTAACATTCAGATCCTCCGAGGTTTTAAGGCGTTTCTTTTAACTCCACAAAACAAAATATTAATTTTCATTTTTCAACTTTTTGAAGTGCCCTTGCCTATTCCAGCACAGTGCTTTCACAACCCAGTAAATTGTACTCACCTGATGTACTGCTCTTCTGCTTGAAATCACTGAAGTTCTGTTCCCGTTTGTGAAATCTGCCGAGGGACTTGACCGGGCCCTCCAAGTATGCCGAAAGTGAGGACGAGGGCGAATAGCAGTCACTCGCTCCGCTTGGATCTCGCACTCGGAATGGGCACTGGCGAGCAATGACTTTTTTACTGCGTAGTGGATTTTGGTTGGCATAAAGTGTAACCTTAGTTTTGTGTAATCATTAATACTGTAAATAAATTACAATGTACATGAACAAAGTACATGTACTGTATGTAGTATGATTGCTGCGGTACATTCGTACGTACCCGTACCCCGCCCTGCTAACAGGACGCTGTGATCCTCTGATGAATTCACGCTTTGATTGGTTGGATTTTGCGTGCCTAGTGACCTGCGCGTCATCGAGGTCATGACTCTGCCGCAAAGTTTGAAAGGGCCGTAAAACTGATTCTTTTCTCTTTTATTCCAGTTTAGAGATTTTTTTCTCGTTAAAAATTAAGCGTAATAATGTAGGAAACTCTGTAAAACTTATCTGTGTTGTACATTTACAATTCCCGTCACTCGATCCATCAGGCTCCGTTTCGAATCACGAACGGTCGGATTGCGTTATGCGACGCTCAAAATTTTGTCCACATGGTCCGCAATGAAACAGAAATCACATCCGGTATGGAATGTGCGCATTTCTATTAGAAGTTTTCGGATAGCATTTGCGCACATTGTCTAATTGCGGGGTGGGGGAGGGAGGGGAGAATTTAGATGAGATTCAGTTAATCAAAATGTACAACCCTCTCAAAGTTCACCACACTATTCTTTTATATACAAGTTTACACATTTAAAAAAAATTATCTATAAACAACAGTCACGTTCAGGTCTGAATTTGCACAATCAAAAGAACCAAACTAAGTGTTTTAGATGACATTCTAAGGACGGAATCATAAAAATTATGTACAAAACTGTTAATAACACAAATAGTGAAGGTTGTAACAGATAACATAACTTGGATAAGAAAGGGGCATTCTAGATTTTGTATTTAAATAAACCTGAAGATCAAGGTTTAGAAGAAAAAAACAGTTCCATACCAAGGCTTAATGTAGCATAACAAAAACAATGAGGGTAGTTTCTTGGTTAATTCTTTATTTTTTTCTCAGTAAAATCAATGAAAAGTAGAATTAATGAATGAGTAGGGTTCGACTTTAGCGGTAGCCTGCTAGCCAAATGCTAGTCAAGACAGCAGCGGGCTAGTCAAACTATTCCTTAAGTAGCCTGGCTGGCAAGGCAAAAATTATTGGGCTAAGGCAAAGATGAAAGGACATGAAGAAATAAATCATTAAATTCAGAAAGCAAACCTATATCAATATTTGTGTCTAATTTTATTAACTGTTTAGGGTTCAATTATTAGATCTGTTTATTAAAAACACTGACAAGATTGCCTCAGGATACACGTATGCACATTGTTGTTTAAGAGACACTCTTTAGAAGAAAAACATACGGGCTAGTGAAAATGCCTGCTGGCTAGTTAAGGCCAAAAAAAAAAGTCTCCGGTTTCTGGTATGGAGCTTGCCCAAAAAGTGGTGCGGCAACGCGGCTTTTTTTTTTTTTTTACCTGATTTTTTTGCTTCAAATGTCGGCTGATGACTGCAAATGGTGCCCGACTAAACTTAGTGCAAATTTATGGGAGTCCAGAGAGGCCACATAAAGCTTATTCTCGACCATAACCCAATCTAAAAACACGTTAAAATTGTGCAGCAGCAGGATTCCAGTCAAACCAGTGAGTTTGGCGGTTTTGAAACATCATCTTTCATTGAAAAAAAACCTTTTTCATTTTGCCGACGCGCATGGCTACGGCGATGCGCGCGCATACCAGAAACCGGAGACTTTTTTGGGGGGGCCTAAGAGTCTGTTTAACAGTAACCCCGCTGGCTAGTAAAAAAAGTTAAGGTCGAACCCTGTTAATGAGTAAAGACATTTTCTCTGGTTTCAAATTGACAGCTTGAAACACTTAAGTTTTTCTCGAATGTGGTTTTTTTTTGGGGGGGGGGGGGTTGGAAGTAAAGAATGTAATGCACAATGTCCTAACATCCAGCATCTCATTGGGTGAAAGTTAAGACCACATGACCTCTTTTGCTCTCTGATTGGTCAGAAAGCCAGGGGGTTTACATGGTGTGCTTGATGATATGGACCACTGCAAACACTGTCCATATGGGTTTTTCAAACTCTGTGGAACAGGAAGCTGAGCAAGGGGGGGGGTTATATGGTGTGCTAGATGATTATGGTCAAGTCTCACTGGGTGGCCATCTTCACTTTGAGGTTCAGAACAAACATGGGGGATTTCTATATGGTGTGCTTGATGATATGGGCCGCTTCCACTACTGTCTGGGTCGGTCTCTTGATTCTGGGGTCCATCACAGGTACAGACAACCTGAAAAAATGCAGAAAAAAGACAATTGATTATAGTGGAGTCATTTAAGGGTACATGAGATGATTATTCTGAGGAAAACATTTTCTGCAACTTTCTACTGCTTTTAAACGTATGATCTACTTGACATACCTTTCGGTAAATTTTATTGGAAAATGCACATCGATACCAATTTCATGTTGATGCTAGGCTGTACTAAGCAAGCCAGGCCAATCTGGTAGCTCTAAAAGCCTGTTGGTACCGTGTGCTTCGGAACGACAAACTTTAAATGTACATTCTATATGTACATGTATATGCAGCTATGTCAGCGTCAGTTGGTGAAATCGAAAATTCTGAGAAGGATCCCAGAACTATTAAAACCTTTTCTTGTGTGTGCATTGGTGGGTGGGCCATCACTGTTTTACGGGGTAGTTCTTCATAACCAGCACACTTTCCCCAAAAAATGGTTCGGCCAGCTTTCTATGCAAAGCCTCATTGGCCCATGGTTTTGTGCGTAAGCCTTATCAGTCTGACGATCACACTCAATTGACTTCGGCAAAACCGCAAGTTCCATCATAAAGAATAAGTTAATCGGACCATTTTTTTCCAAGAGTGTGATTCTAATGTTTATTGTTAGAGAAATTAGGACTAAGTTATGGGGACTTTCTGCTGTCCCCATATGTCCCCATAATACCATGGAACACCACGTGTGCAGTACCCAGTAATGGAACAAGAACACGTGTTGGTGTGGGTGTATGGCACACTGCAGTATTTTCATAGGCTTCCTTTTTTTCTGTAGGCTCTAGGCACAGTGCCTACTGTGCCTATCATCTGAGCCTGGTTGTAGGTCCGAGTTTCACCTGAGGTTTGTGAACTTTTCCTTGCAAGCTCTCGGAGAGCACTGAGTATACAAGTGTTTAACAGACTAACAGACTCCTCGGTCGAGAGGCAAACCTAAAGCTGAATGTTACGTACTGGACGTTGGTGCGCTGGTTGACCACAAACAGCGGGTTGACTTGGCTGAGTATCTCATCGTTGACGGAGATGCCATCCAGGTACTGCTTCAGGACCGTCCTCAGCTGTCGGTTCTCCTCCAGCAGAGTGGACCTCTCCTTGTCCAGGGCCACCTTGTCCAGCAGGACCTTGTTGTAACGCTTCCAGAAGTTCTCCAGTGAGACGTACTCATGCATAATCTGCAATGAAATCATTTGATATTCAAAATGATGAAGGATGTGACGTTTACACGTTTAAAAGTATAAAAGGATAACAATTCTAAATCTGTTCAAAAATTTTCCAAAACGTTCAAACAAAACCCAAATTATAAAAGTTACATATGTTTACTCTATACACAGGCATGCAACTTGGAAGTAACAAAAAAAAGAGGCAACTCCTATCTTTACAGGACTTTGTACAGTGCTTTTCAATTTTGAGTGGCATATTAAGTGTGAAGTAAAAAATGAGGAAATCAGCTGGTCCGACAAAAAAGTTGCATGGCTGTGTATGTTTACTCTATCTGCATTTCACACACAAAAAAGGATGCCTTTAGGCCAAAAAAAAAAGTCTCCGGTTTCTGGTATGCGCGCGCGTCGCCGTAGCCATGCGCGTCGGCAAAATGAAAAAGTTTTTTTTTCAATGAAAGATGATGTCTCAAAACCACCAAACTCACTGGTTTGACAAGAATCCTGCTGCTGCACAATTTTAACGTGTTTTTAGATTGGGTTATGGTCGAGAATAAGCTTTATGTGGCCTCTCTGGACTCCCATATATTTGCACTAAGTTTAGTCGGGCACCATTTGCAGTCATCAGCCGACATTTGAAGCAAAAAAGTCAGGTTAAAAAAAAAAAAAGCTGCATCGCCGCACCACTTTTTGGGCAAGCTCCATACCAGAAACCAAAGACTTTTTTTGTTTGGCCTTAACCCATGAGCACCTGTGCTACATTGTATTACATTGTGTTAATTCACTGAAGAATCAATAAAACCATAGAGTGCTCGGGCGATTTCGGGCGCTACAGTGACTAAAGGGTTAGTTTGGTTGGGTGACTATAGTGGACTAGACTTAGCCATAGTCGATCTCGATGTCACTAGAAGGCTGCATGGTTTGACTAGCTAGTCCAACTGGATCAACCTAGCCCCAGAGCACTGTTTCTCTAGTCAATTTGCGAGTTACGTCACAGTTTTAAGATGGCGGAAAAAAAAACTGGGGCAACTTTTTGCAAACTTTTGTTATCACAGTTAACATTAACAATTAATGAGAAGTTTTTGTACGGTTTGTTCAATAATGATCAATCTTTGCAAAAAGACAATTAATTATTTATTACACTTAAGTTAAGAATAGAAAATAAGAGAAAAGAAAAATGACGTGTCAAAATTTGCTTCATTAACAACATGAAGGCCTGTTGTTGCTACAAACTATGAACTACATTTGATGAGTCGATCAACTAGACGCATTCGAGTGAAAAACAGACCACTTGTGACATAGGGTCAGCACCCGAACTTGCTCTTAGTTATAAAAACCTCTGCAGGATTCTCTGTTTTACTGAGAAGTTTGACCAATGCGACAACAGTGAAGAAACGCCTCTAACAGCAAAAAGCAACCATGAAATCAAGGATAAGCGGGAAGCGCAACGCCTGTCCCAGCCTAGTCTTACCTCCGCCAGTGGTTCTGATGGGGGTTCTGCCACAGCAGCCTGTACATCTTCCTGCTCCTCCTGCGTCAAGCTGGAAGCGTAGAATGGAAGCACCTTCTCCTCCTCTGTCTCCATCTTACGACACTGCTCGGCCAACTTGACTATCCTGTCACCCTGGGCGCAATAGAAGTTGTTTATCATTAATTTAGTAGTTTCTCCAAATGATACACAACCTGCAAAACCTGATCATACTTTCTTTTCCACCAAATACTGCCAGTTTTTAAAACATGCTTTCTTGGCCCTTTTCAATTATGACAACAGATACAGGAGCACATCGAAAATGCCTTTTACTACTTTCCCCCAAAAAATATGGATTAATTTGATAGTATTTAAAAATTGAAAATGCCTAGTGGACCCAATCCTAAAAAAAAAAGAGGTCCATGCAATGCATTTTTCTAGGTAACATATTTCGTGCCACTTTCTACTCCTTTACAACAGCAAAATATCCAAAATTCTAGCAACTTTTTGTGCTGAAACAGCTGTAACATTGAGGTTTCTGCCGGAATGACATCATATTTTGCTCATGAATATGGAAATTTGTATCAGCATAAGAAAACAAAAAGGCACCAAAATAGACTTGAAAATGGCAAAACAAAAATTTTAATTATTTTCAAGGATCATATTAAAAAAAAATGGGCCCTTAAAAAAAAAAACTGGTATCATCCTCGTCCAAGGTACTGGAACATAAAACATTACGCAGCTACACCAAGTTTCATGAAACAGATTGTAAGTTTATTGTGCAGCTGTGCAACAAATTTGTTGTGAAATTGGCTGCAGACCTGCTTCAAACTGAGCTATTACTCCCTAAAAATCAGTTGAGACGGATAGAAATTGCAAATCAATCCAGGTAATCAGTGTGATACAAATTTAAATTTCTACCTGATCAGTTTTCCTTTTCAGCTCTTTGATTGCAGCGTTGCTCTCCAGCGTCAGCTTGGTCAGGCGGGATCTCTCGTTATCCCTGAACCGATTCATCTGGTTCTTGAGTTCGTGGAAGTGCTCAGCGATGACCTCTCGCTGTTCCCTTAGGTCCTTGTTGCGCTCCTCGCTGTCCCGCGAGTTCTGCGCCATCTTGCCTTTCAGCTGGGCTATTGTGTCCTATATTTGGGCACAAGACAATATGGTTTAAACAAATTTACCAAATTTAAGTTTGGCATTAACAGTTGTGCAGTTTCTTTTAGGTTTGGAAGAAGTCACAACCGCTGATATCTCCATTCACTTATGCGCTCCGTGCGCCAACTAGAGAGGGTGTTTTTTACCACTTTTTGAGAGCCCATGGACAAGACACACCACGCGAGCGCACTGGTTCGGGCACATATAGTGCAAAGCATTCACCACGTATTTTATTTTGATTGCACACAAAGCCATAGTGTCTTCGCGTGAAAGTCAGGCATCGTCGGCAATTTGTTCAAATGCCTCCCCCAACGGTCTCTCCCTTTCTTGCGGTTAAGGGGGTACATGTTTACGGAGCCCATACCTACTGTCGTGTCGTTATACCAGGCACATGTATTGTGTTGAAAAGCATGAGTCTGGCCTCAAAATTTGAAAGTGATACATGTATGTTCAACACCAAAGGTAATTTTGCAGACATTTGGGCACGCACAAATAATTTCAAAAGGAGTAACCTGCATGGAAATTAAATTCAGATAAAGTCCTTTTAAACAACGCCTGAATAAATCCCTATCATCTGATAGGTGGGTCGTTGATCACTAGTCATAGAATTATTCCTACCTATGCACAGCGCGGCCACAAGGCAAAAAGAGAAAATCCATACCAGGGTAAATGGAAGTTCAATTGCCAGTCAAATTTTTGGAGGCTCTGAACAATCAGAAGGCGAGGATTTATTCAGGTGTTGAGTAAAACAAATAATGAATGTTTCACATTCATGCAGAGGAAAGAATAATACCATTCGGTGACGGATTGAATGTTCCATTCCACTCAGATTCCATCTGTCACCTCGTAAAATTATTCTTACCATTGCACTCACAAACATTCATTAAAATGTTCCACTGTTCCAAATGGCCAAGCTCCTTTAATCAATACACAGCAACCCATTAAAACCTCTGATTTACAACAATATGTGTTTAAGTCATGACAGCCTGACTAGGGCGAAGAGAGCTATCAACTCTGGTAAAGTGGCTAGCCAAAGGACACAAACGAAATGATTGTAAAGCTTACGGATATTCTCTGGAGTTTCCTCATCTGCATCTCAATCTCCTTGGCGCTCTTTTCGTCTTTGGATTTCAGGGTCTCAAAGTGAGCCTTCCTCTCCTCCGTGGTTTCATTGTAGCTCTTGAGAGCCTGCTGGAACTGCTTCCACAGGTCTTCCACTTGACCCTCCAGCTGGATGCGCAGGGCGTGCTTCTCTTCTAGATTCTGAAATAAGACATGTCAAAGACAGTTGCAACAAGTAGATTCATCAAGTACAATGCTTACAAGTGCTAAAGGTAGGGCCAAAGGTTTTCCGCGATTGCGGAAAACGGACGGAATTCGCGGAATCTGCTCCTTGAAACGGAAAACGGAATTTGAATCTGAAGAAAAAACTTCTGCAATTTTATTGATAAAAAACCATAATTTCGTTAAATTTATTGAGTCCAAAACGAATTGTTGATGATTGATTGAACAGACGAGCCATATAACAAATGAGCGGTGTTCATATCACGATTTTGGGGGGACAAAAACGTTCAAGATCAGCGCAATAAATGTTATGAGATCATTACCGTAGTACGCGTAGTCATGGAGTGACAGTCCTGACGCATGCCGTAGCTGTCGGTCAGCGCACGGGTGAAAATCATGTTTCTTGGGTGTGTGGCAGTGGCGGTGCAGTATATGACTATAAACTGTGGTGAAGTTGAATACTACGTCTGTACATTGATCGGCCGTTGATAAAATAGCAATCTTTATTGGGGCAATTTTCCCGCGTTCCAACCAAACGACTATTTCATTATCGTCTTGGAATTATTTTGTGTGTACATGTACATGGTATATGTTTAAATGCCTTTTTGTGTATTGAATAAATGTGAAACGAAATTTTTTAGCCTGAAACGGAATTTAGGATGTTTGAAAACGGAATTTGCACTTTTCTGAAACGGAAAAAGATTGGCCCTACTAAAGGGTTATTGCCAATGGTCAGATCTTAGCCGAGAGGTCCTCCAGCAACACGGGTAGGTTAGGCTTGTTAGACTTGGTTGCCAGTCCACCTAGGAGAAGGACAACTCTGATCACAAACCCGGGAAGATAGAACTTGCTAGCCTAGGTCGGCAGTCTGCCTAGGAGAAGGACAACTCTGATCACAAACCAGGGAATATAGAACTTGTTAGACTAGGTCGGCAGTCTGCCAAGGAGGACAACTCTGATCACAAACCCATGCAGATAAAGCTTGTTAGTCTTGGTTAGCAGTGCACCTCAAACATGAGTGGAGGCATTACTTAATGCCCTGCTCCCTACCAGGCGGCTTACTGGTAGACGAGGCTCACGTCTTGTGAAGTCTTTGCTGACATCTCCCAACATACGTCAGAGGAGAGTTCAGTGCAGACGGAACTATGGGCAGACGAGCGTCTTCTGACCAAAACGGCAGAGCAGTGCTGCGAGGATCAGCGTGCCACAGCACTTATTAGCTATTAAAAGGCCAAAAGGCCATTGCCAATGATCACTTGAAAGGAAAGACTACTTTACCAAGTATTTCAGTAGACCCTAAATGTTTGTATCTTTGAATTTCTTCAAGGTACCTTGTTCTTAATTTCATCTCGGAGGCTCTGAAACTCCTGCTTTGCTTCGTTCTCCCTGTCGTTGCTGTTCTGCTCCATGGCAAACAGAATGTCCTGGAGATCGTTGACCTCTCGTCGGTGTTGCTCGATGATCAAGCTGCGCTCGCTGTTGAACTCCTTCATCAGGATGGATTGCTCACCGTCGTATTCCGACTTCAGAATGGCCAGCCGATTCCTCTGTAGGTCTGTGACACATGAATCAGAGAATTGCTTGCTTCAAATCACTGCAAATTTTCAATAAACACTTTTACACCCCATATTGATTGCTGCATGCAAACTTTAACTGGCACACTCTTCATGCAACTTTTTACCTGCCCAGCACGCAATTGCAGGGGGTAGTTTCGAATATCTGAATATTCGGTCAAATGCAGTTTTGAGTAATCGAATACTAAATTATTCGAGAATGGACAGCTCTACATCACCTGTTACTTGTGACTTATCTAATCATTTGACCTGGTACCTGGGCCCAATTTCACGGCGCTGCTTAACAGTTAGCAGAAAAGTTGTGCTTAGCATAGCAGAAAAATTTGCTAACCTTAAGCACTATTTCATGGCGTGGATGTGCTAACGGTCGCGCGTGCATGGAGATTTCTATTGTTACGTCACCAAGTTAAGCAAATTTTTCCTCCAAAGTAAGCGTTCCTTTTGCTGTGCTTATGCTTACGGTCTCCATGAAATAGATGGAGGCTCTGCTAGCAGAAAAACATGTGCTTAGCAGCGCCTTGAAATTGGGCCCTGACTTTGGATTTTGACTTCTGACGGAATTGACTACTGGGCCCAATTTCACGGCGCTGCTTAACAGTTAGCAGAAAAGTTGTGCTTAGCATAGCAGAAAAATTTGTTAACCTTAAGCACTATTTCACGGCGTGTGTGTGCTAACGGTCGCGCGTGCATGGAGATTTCTATTGTTACGTCACAAATTTAAGCAAATTTTTCCTCTGAAGTAAGCGTGCCTTTTGCTGTGCTTATGTTTACGGACTTGCTAGCAGAAATTTGTATACTTAGCAGCGCCGTGAAATTGGGCCCTGCTCTGCACAAAATTGTTTCCAGTTGTTGTTACACATATTTCATAATGAATATATCAGACGGAATCTCCCAGACCAAGCTCACCAATGAGAGCGTCCATGTTTTGCAGATGGCTCCTGAGGGCCATGGAGTACTGCTCCTCCGCCTCCGACAGATCCTTGGCCAACGACTTGATGACGCTGTCCTTGCGGTCCACGACCCTCTCGAAGGTCTGGCTGAGAATCTCAATGTCCCTCTTGAGCTCCTTGGACTTGGCGGCCCGCATGATGTTCCTCCACTGGTGGGTGATCTTGTACATGTTGAAGCGGGTGTTCTTTTCTTCCTTGACAAGTTTGTCCTATGAGAAAAATTGAATTATTGAAATTTCAGCATTAACAATTCAGCAGTGTATGCGCCAAGGCTCACACTTCATTAAACGATTACCGTAATTTTCGGAATATAAGCCGCGGCTTATACGTTGAATTTGCCCATGAAAATGTTTACTGCGGCTTATACACAGGGCGGCTTATACGCCGAGACTTGAAGAATAAAAATGACATTTACATGTGTATTCAATGTACTGGTACAAGAAGAGATGTGTTGCTGAAATAATTATCAATTAAGAAAGTCATTAACAAACCGAAAGCACGTCCCACAAAAAGGTACCGAGCGGTAAAAAGTACGGCTAGTGAAAGCTGTCCCTTGGACATCGACAACCGGCCGCACGTGATGCTGCATATGCTGCATGCATCATGCTGCATGGATTCCCATGGACCACACCATTTGTGGTAATAAAGGGGTTCACTTTCTTGGGAACAATAATTACCAATATTTCCCCTGTTTAAAAAAAGAAAAAAGACAACTAATACTTTTTATGAAGTTTGAAACATATCTTTATTTGATAATCAGTTGTTCAACGTCACAATTTAATTTTTTTTCTTGAAATGTATTCAAGAAACGATGTAAAACTCAAAACAGGGGTGAAATCACCCCTTACGAAATTAATGGATTCGTCCATAAAAATCTCAGCATCGTGTTGACTGTTTTCGAAGAAAGTTACGATCCAAACTTGAATGTTTGACGTTACTACTCGTTAGTAATCACAACAATTTGATAAGTTTTGATGTAAAACGGACTTGTTTATCCTTTAGGACAAAACAACTCAGTGTCTGTTGCCACAAAGCAGGATTTGTAGCGCTCCAGTCAGACAACACATGGTGGGTTGCATACTCTCTCAAGTGCTGGGGGAAAATAATGTCAGTCGCCGGCAGCAATTCCCGTTTTTTATTTCTCATCATCAATTTCCATATTTGTTTGTAAGAGTAATCGACTGTAAATGATTTGACATAACTTATGTGGCCCTTTTATAGCTTTCGTAGTGTAAATGGAACTGGTTCAGAGCATTTTGACTAGAATTTGGAGGCCTTACAAAATTGAACCGCTGCGGTTGGTGCGGCTTATACGCCGATGCGGCTTATATGCCGACTTCATATCTTAATTTGCAGATTTTTGCGTGCTGCGGCTTATACGCCGCGCGGCTTATATTCCGAAAATTACAGTACTGAATTAGGTCCAAGAGTACATAAGGTAATTCCCAAGAAAGGTAACTGGCAAGAATGTTGCATCCTGACGCCACTTTTTCATCAAATATTATCTCAATGAAATGAAGGTCAGTCATTGCAAAGCTGTTGAAAAGACATTTCCATTTTTTCTTTTTTGAAAATACTTTGAAAATGCACACGACTCTCCATAGACTCTCTGGATACTACATTCTTTCAAGGTCATTTTTCAACTCAACCCAAATTTTAAAGGTGATGTTTTTATCATGCAATGTTGATTTTCTTAAACAGTGCCTTGTACAGTAGAGGATTTTGAAAAAATATCTTCAGGTAAGAAATTATTAGTAACTCATGGAGTTATTTTCTTTATAATTTGAATTCAACCCTAGTGCAGTTTTCAGACGTTTAGCCTCACCTTTTGTGTAACAGAATCTCTGTATAGCTGATATTTCTATGGCGCTGTGCCTCTTTTCGTACTTTTTAGTATATTTCGAAAGGAGTTGAAAGGAACTTGACAGTAGTTGATGGCATTTTTGCAGTTGAGGGTAATTAGTTTGATCGCATGTATGCTATTGAAAGAATAACATCTAGATGTACCTTCAAGAACTGGTTGAGCATATCTTCTTTTTTCTTCTTCATCTCTTCCTCTGCCAGCATCTTCTGCTCCAAGTACAGGATCCTTTCCTCCTCTGTCATCTTGGCCAGCTTCCCCTTCTTCCCCGATTTCTTGCCTTTCTTCTTGGGTGGCATGATTTCTGAAAAAGAAAAAAATGATGTGTGAAACTACGAGTTATGACAATACCTTTTTTCAATGAAAAATATGACTTTACAGTTGAATGCACAGCGGTCGAGTTGGCACAACGGTCGAGTTGATTGGATACCACCGGCAATAGACTACGTGTATTACATGTTTGTTTTGCAAAAAAATAGTTAGTGGCCTGACGTTTCGACCCTAGCAGAGTCTTTCTCGGAGGCTAAATGACAAGACTATAAACATAAACAGGTACATGTATACATTACTGATGTAACAAAAGCAGTCAAGTGGAAATAGATGATGCAGAGGAAAATACACAGAGAAAGCAGGTGGCTGAACAGAAAGGACGAGGGTAACAAAAGGGAGGGGGATTGGGGGAAGGGGATGGTTGACCACAAGAGGTGGGGAACACAAGGGACAAAGTCAATGATGGGGAGAGGGAGAGAAAGGTAGTTAATTGGTGAATGAGGCAGACTGGAGGGGGGGGGCTTATCTGTGGTGAAAAGGAGAAGGCAAAGACAAAAAGTTATTAGTCATTTCCTTCTTGGATGTTCAGACCATGGGGTTGAATGGTCTGGAGACGACTTATCCATAATTTCTCTCTACTCAGACGAACAATCTCTCTGTGGTTTCCTAGTGCCTCAATGCCCTGTAAAATCATGTCAGAAATTGAGTGATTAGGAAGATTGAAATGATGTCCTACGGGTGTATCCAGCTTATGGGTGTATCCTGTGGATCTGTGGCCGTAGAAACGTCTCTTGAGTGTAGTTCTCGTTTCACCTATATATTGAACACCACAAACTTTGCAAGATATTAAATAGATTAGATTATGGTGCAGGTGACATGACCCCTTGTCCTATGGGTGGTACCACCGGTATGGCTGGTGAAGGAGTCCGATTCTCTGATGTGTTGTCTACAGACGATGCATTTGGAGGTGTTGGGACACCTGAAAGTTCCCTGTGGCAAAGGGGGGTTAACATTATCATTAAAGGGGGGGACTTCTGCCCGGACAATGAGATCCCTGAGACTGGGTGGCCGTCTGTAGGCAACTATGGGTTCTTCTTGTACAGCACGTTGAAGTCGATCTGATGTGTGAAGAATATGATGGTTAGAACTGGTTATTGTACGAATGGGGGGAAGTGAGGGGTGGAAAGTGACAACAAAGGGAACTTTCTCCTTGGAACTCTGTTGTTGCACAGGTCTTTTTGAAAGTACTGACTCCCTGGAGCGAGCCTTGACTTTCTGGATTGCTCAATGGACTGCCAGGGAGCTATGACCCCGGGAGACGAGGTGTACGTTTCTTAAGTTCCTGTGAGTGGTGGATAAAATCGGAATCATTAGAACAGATTCGACGGAGTCTGATGAGGGCCTGACTGTAGGTTATGCTGGTTTTGCAGTGTCGGGGATGACAGCTGGTTGAGTGGAGATATTGTTTATCTGTGGGTTTAACAAAGAGATCTGTGATCAAATCATCATCCGTCTTTAGAACCTTGACATCCAGAAAGTGGGTATCCTTGGTTGAGTATTCGGTTGTGAATTTGATGGTCCTATGGAAGGAATTGATGTGATTAATGAATGCTGTGAGGCTAGATTCATCACTGGTCCAGATGAAAAAGATGTCATCAATATAGCGCCACCAGACCCAGGGACGGCATGGGGCTGACGCCAACAACAAGTTGGCTCATGAATAGGCAGGCCATTGATGGTGCCATCCGTGTACCCATAGCGGTGCCATGTACCTGTAGGAAATTCTTACCCATGAACGAAAAATTGTTTTTAGTTAGAACATGGTTCATGAGGGATACTATATCAGAAATGGGCGGTGAGGTGTTTGTTTTGTTGACGCTCAATAGCACGACCGACGCTTTTGAAACCTTATTTTTGTGTGTCCCAAAAAATAAGAATTGTTTAAAAATAATGTTTCTTTAATTGTTTTAAATTGCAGAACTTTTCATCTTCTTTTTCTGATTCCTGGCTCTGGACTGGAGGAATTTTTTTTTTTTAGAGAAATTAGGCCCTAATTTTATAGGTCTGATTTCCATCTCTTTAACTTAAGTTAAACGTATGCATGTTTAACACAAAGTCACAATGACAGTGTTAGCACGATGGAACCAGACAAAGAGTAGTCATGGTAAACATTTCTAATTCTAAGTTACAAAAAAAGTCACAACACTGGGCATGTTCAGTGCCGTGCCGACACAATACTGTGAAAACAATCGGGGACCGGTTCACGGACATGACTAGTCCGAAAATTCGGGACTCTCAAATACTGTATATGAGAGTCCCAAAACTTAAGGTATTGAAAACATACAAAACAAGAAAATAGACTGGCACCTGAAACAACCAGTCCAAGACAGCTTCAGTCATGTCAGTACTGCATCAATCAACCATGCCAAAAGAAAAGAAACATGTGGCATGAAGCGGGAACTAGTCTCAATTTACTACACATAGCGCAGCGTGATTGTCCGTGCACATCGTTCATTTTTTCCGGGCCTGTGCGCGCATCCCCGGTCAATGTGGCCGTACCGTGCACGGTGGCATCGTTTTTGCCGGGCCTGTGCACCCACTTGCCCGGTCAGTCAACGTGGCCGTACCGTGCACGGTGGCATCGTTTTTACCGGGCCTATGGCTGTGCACCCACTTCCTCGGTCGGTCATGTCGGTCAATGTGGCCGTACCGTGCACGGTGGCATCGTTTTTGCCGGGCCTGTGCGCCCACTTGCCCGGTCAGTCAACGTGGCCGTACCGTGCACGGTGGCATCGTTTTTACCGGGCCTGTGCACCCACTTCCTCGGTTGGTCATGTCGGTCAAGTCGGTCAATTTGGCTGTACCGTGCACGGTGACATCGTTTGTGCCGGGCCTGTGCGCTCACTTGCCGCACCGGTGGACGTGCCCGCGCGTGCCGGGCCCGGCCCGGTCCTCGCGGCGCGGGCGGGGCGCACTGGCCCAAAGCGACGGCCACAGGATCGGAGCGCATTGGCCCGACGCGACGGCCACAGGATCGGAGCGCCCTCTGTCATGTCTGTAGCCTACATTATGCCGGTGCCCGCACCGCGCCTGTGATCGGTCCTGCCACAGATTTATGCAACTTTTTCTGCTCAACAGTCGAGTTGTCCCAAGTCGAGTTGTCTCAACGGTCGACTTGTCTCAACGGTCGACTTGTCTCAACGGTCGACTTGTCTCAACGGTCGATTTGTCTCAACTGTCGACTTGTCCCGAGTCGAGTTGTCTCAACGGTCGACTTGTCTGACATTCATAACAAGGTTTGCCGTCTCCGGCAAAATATACACTGCCTATAATCATAGGCAGTGTATATTTTGCCGGAGACGGCAAACCTTTAGTAAACGTTAGTTTGCCGGATATGCACTGAACATGCGCAGTAACTGTTTTTTTGTACTTTAACATTTTCCGGTGACAAGTTTTAGTCTGGCTCCATGCCAAAATTATCATTGTTACCTCGTATTCACAAGATGGGATTCAGACCATTTTATAATTTCAGACTTTTTTTCCCTTTTAAAAAAAATACTCCAGAGCCACAAATCTGAAAAAGAAATGTAATACTCTGCAAAAAATGTTTGAGACATGTTAAAATAATAAAAGAAGAATATTCTTATTTATTTGGGGATGAGAAAAAAAACCTTAAAATGTGGTGCGGTTGGAATCGAACGCGAGTCATCCCGCTTACTAGAGCCTTTGCTTAACCACTACACCAAACTAGCTGGAGTTACCCAGCCCTGAGTTTTATCATTGGGTTGTCTATTAGGGCTGGAGCGAATTTTTCTCGTAACTTGTAGTATAGGCAAAAAATTTTGGAAAATGTTCAATTTTGTCCCCGTTACACACTAATTGCAACTGCAACTCACCCCAAACTTGCCTGGAATAACCATTACACAGGTCCTTGAAGTAAAACAATCCACGATGAAGATTCAGCCTACAATTGCAGTGAAAACAGGAGGAATAACCGCTAACTTGACAACCTTGCTGGATTGGCCAGGACCGCAATTGGTTTGTGCACAAAAAAAATTGTGTACAATGAATGGCGGTCGATTAACAGGCACAGAGAGCGATCGCAACTACTCGTTTTTGCCGGCTGCGCTGGCTGCTGGCGCATGACGTCACGCGGAAGCGTAACACCCGATGACTGTTTCATGCACTAATATAAGGTTTACCACTCGCATCACAGCTTTGGTACTGGAACCGCAACCAATAGTGCATGAAACACGTGACGTCATGCGCCAACAGCCAGTGCAGCCGGCAAAACCGAGTAGTTGACAGTGATCGCTCTCTGTGCCTGTTAATCGACCGCCATTCATTGTACACAATTTTTTTTGTGCACAAACCAACCGCGGTCCTGGCCAATCCAGCAAGGTTGTCAAGTTAGCGGTTATTCCTCCTGTTTTCACTGCAATTGTAGGCTGAATCTTCATCGTGGATCGTTTTTTACTTCAAGGACCTGTGTAATGGTTATTCCAGGCAAGTTTGGGGTGAGTTGCAGTTGCAATTAGTGTGTAACGGGGACAAAATTGAACATTTTCCAAAAAATGTTGCCTATACTACAAGTTACGAGAAAAATTCGCTCCAGCCCTAATACTAGACAACCCAATGATAAAACTCAGGGCTGGGTAACTCCAGCTAACACCAAACGTGCTAGTGCTACACAACTCTTGATGGGAATTTAATACATCTTATAATTCAGCCCTATTTTAAAGAGTACAGCGCCCTCTGTTGATATGGATTGCCGCCGGCAAACCTTTAGTAATCGTTAGTTTGCCGTCATTACCTCCGGCAAAATATCCACTGTATCAATATTATTATTAACGCACATAGGCTAGCGCATAAAATGTTGATTATCTACTGCATTTTCTCTCTTTGCAAGACATTGGAACTTACGTTTGATAGATGGTGAACCTTATACTTCTATTCAAATGCTGCTATTTTCAGCCTGGTTCTCGAGAAAGTCAGTTAGTGGGTGAAAAAAGAAATAAACATCTGAAAGATTTTCACTGAAAATAATTCGAAAAGTGCATTGACCTCTTGATAATTACAGCACGAGTCATGGCAACGACGATACTCTTTATTTATACGTTACTACTTATCAACATTTATAGTCAAATATCTTATATTTCTTAAAATTAAAATAGTTTTTATTTAATTATATTTTTTATGAATTTATTATTTATTAAAAATATATTGAGTAAACATGTGTTAATTTTTTTGATGATTAAAAAATTGAAAGAGACTAAGTGACTGTTTTGTGTCGCTACTTTTGATTTGTTTTATTCCATATAACAGCCGTCGGTAAATCGCTGCATACACCAGTCTGGTTTCGGCTGTGACAGCGTGACGCATTGCACATCGCGCAAGGACAGGGAGGCAAAGACTAGACGAAAGCGCGCGAGCTTGTTTTGCACAGGCAGTCAGACAGGCACGAAATACGCCCCCAAAATAGTTAAAAATGTCATCTAAACGGAAAGTTGGAATTGTGGGATTTGGTCATCTAGGTAACTAAAGTTTTTGTAAAGCATTTTGTTTGTGTAATTGGTGTATTCGTGTTCGCCACAATGTCAGTTCGGCCATGTCGGCGCAGGTAACGCTTGCACTTGCAGTGCGCGCGTTGTCCGACATGTCCCAACCACTGACCAGTGGCGTAGCCAGGAATTTTTCAGTGGGGGGGGGGGGGGGGGGGGGGGGGGGGGGGGGGGGGGGGGGGGGGGGGGGCTGGAACATTTCATGGGGGGGGGGCGTCATGCAGGGGCGTCAATCGCTTCTTAAAAGTGGGGGGGGGGTGGACATACCTTGATCAGAACTGATGCGAGCGCGAAGCTCTAACGGCGTGGGGTTCGGGGCTTGCTTAAGGGAAGTTAAGGGCCCCTAAAAAAATTATGATTCTAGATGTTCTGTGGTGTGATCTGAAGCAATTTCTTACCAATACCACTTCCCTCCATGCTTTAACTAATATTTTCTTAGCAAAAGATAATTATTTGAACATCGTTTTCGAGGTTGGAGTCATTGAATCAGCTATCAGTATTCTGAGCTATAGGCGTGGGGTTCGGGGCCCGCTTAAGGGCCCCGAAAAAAAATTGGATTCTTGATGCTCTGTGGTGTGATCTGACTATTCTGAGGCAATTTTTTACCACTTTAAGTAACCAATAATTATCTTAGCACAAAAGATAATAATTTAAACATAATTTTCGAGGTTTTCTCAACTAAAGGCATAAGAACATTTTTTGAACATTGTCTTCGAGGTTGGAGTCATTGAATCAGCTACCAACATTTAGGATTCTAAATGCTCTCTGGTGCTATCTGAGGCAATTTCTGACCACTTTAACCAATATTTTCTAAGCAAAAGATACATTGTAGTACATAATAGGGCCCTGTAAATGAGACACGAGTTCAAAAATCTGGGGGGGGGGGGGATTTGATATTGTGTCCCCCACCCTTCAAAAAGTGGGGGGGGACATGTCCCCTGTCCCCCCCCCCCCCCCCCCCCCCCCCCAGGATTGACGCCCATGGCGTCATGTAGATCAATGATAATTTTTTTAGAAACTCAAAATCTCAGTGGGGGGGCGACTGGGGGGTGACAAGGTTTCATGGGGGGGGGGCGGTCGCCCCCCACGCCCCCCTGGTGGCTACGCCACTGTGTCCAACGCAAATTGAATGCAAGCGCGTCAAAATAGGACCCCGTCAATGGCAATGCCCGTCGTTTTAGGGCCGGGGTCTGAGTGACGATACTTGACATGCTTGACCATCTTGACTCGTGATGGGAGCAATGAATCTGAAATTACATCTTTGCGATCGTGAAGTTACGAGCCCCTCTTTACTACTTTAGTTTCTATTCAATCATGTTAACTTAATTAGATTTCAAGAGTGTGTTTTTTACCATTCAAAAATTACTGAAACTGATACTAGACGGCGCTCGCTGACGAGTGACGTGGCTGATCAATGGTCAGAACCTCGAGGTTAAGACATACCATTATTTCTCAGACCCATTTTCATAAAACTGAATGGTTCTTGAGTCTGGAGAGCTGAATGTTGATGTAGAGCGCAATTTGAGTCCCCCACGCAAGTTTAAACTTGCGCGAGGGACTCCTGAAGCACGCAAATTACACCGCGCCATTTTAATTTGCGTGCGCAAGTTTAAACTTGCGCAAAGGCGATCGCAACCTTCTTCTGCGGGCGGGATTTTCATTGATGAAGATTTTTTTCTTCAAAACACGAGTACATGGAGAAATAATGGAATAAATGAATGAATAAAGAAATAAATAAAAAAGGGTAATTCAATTAGCGTCAATGAAAAGAAACATTGAGATTTACCAGTGCTTATCAGAGAAGTTGTTTAAGGGTACGTGGGGGCGGGGCCAGGGAGGGGACCTGGCAAGCAATCAACTTAAGCACACTAGCGGCGATTGCTTGGAAAGTGTACTGAAGTTGTTCAAAAATGGAGACCAGCTTCAAGTTTTTTGCTTTGTAAACCTAATTAGCATTTTATTTATATTCTTGAATGTAAATAAATCATAATTTCCTAGGTGTAACCCGCTGTTAACGTAAAAAGAATGATTATGATCCCTTCAATTGTTCAAGTTTTGACATTATACTTATCATTTACATTATTTTTAAAATGCTTATGTATTCTACAATTAAAAAAGTATTTACTCTTAAAAAAATACTAATTAATTTAACAATTAATAAATTGTACGGTACAATAATTCATATTGTTTTTAGAAATGCTTGCATAAGATTTCGAGCGCTGTGTACACTTCAAAAATGCATAATTTGAAAAAAAATTAATGAATGCATTACTAATTTAATTAATTAATTAAATGTATTACTTTAACAAATATTTTTATTACAGGCTCAATAATTCATATTAAAAAGTGTTTACAACTTAAAAACGCTATGCATATAAAATGGTAATTATTTAAAAAAGTAAATTTATTTGCAAATCATTTAATTAATGAATTTAATCAAATGTTTCAAAAAAAGGCATTTAACGCATTGTCTCCCGAAGCTCAGTGATGCTATTAAATCAGAGAAAAAAATCTGCTTTAAAAATAATGTTACATATCTGCATGAGTATACCCAACCAGGGGCAAAATAGTTTAGCGGCTCTAGCTGTATGCGTGGCCGGGAAAATCTATGCAGTGCGCAAGTTTAAACTTGCGTGCGCAATTTGTAGCAAGGAAATGAATGCGCGCGCAAGTTTAAACTTGCGTGCGCGCAGGTTTAAACTTGCGCAGGGGACTCACTTTGCGCTCGACATCAACACATAACAACCAATGATAAACATGATAAATGCACATGCTAACATGGCTAAAGAAATAGTCCGAGTAACTAGGACTCTACAGATTGATTTTTTAACATTAGGACATGGTCGGGCGATGCCCAAATGTTAAAAAAAGTGATCCGTAGAGTCCTAGTTACTCGGACTACTAAAGAAAAGATGTTTTCACTAGCTGATGTAATCCCAGCTGCCCTATATTTCTAAACCCCAATAAGTAAACAAACAGACTAGAATCTCTGAGTGAGAGTTATAGTCCTGTTTATACCAGTTGAGCTTCATAGAAATTCAAAATTACTTAGTGAGATGACTGATGATACTAATATTAAAAGGTATTGTTTTTCTATCTTGTTAATTGTGAACTGAAGGTCAGTATCTTCACCAAGCCGTTAAAGACAGCGCAGATCTGGATGTTGCCTTTGTTTGGAACAGAACAACGTCAGCCTTGCGTGAAACAGTAGCGGAGCAACATATTCTGGAAGATCTTTCCAAGTTTGCAGACAGGTATTAAACTTAGTTATGTCAACAATTCAACAGCTGATTCTTAGATGTGTAAAGTCATGTTCTAGAGTTTTATTAACCCCATGCGTACGGGAAGCGGTCATTGCCGCGGCCGCTAATCCTCAATGGAATGCAGTTGCCAGCTGTGGTATGCCGCGGCACACGGCTAGTGGGTAGTTCCACAGCTGCTGCTTTTGTGCAGTCCCGCTACCACACAAAGGCTGTGCAGTCATGCGGGCCACTTGCTCTATGTGTGGAGGAATGTCCCCATTACACCCCGTCCTTAAGGGGTTAAAGTCTATCAGGAATCAATTTCAGTCAATTCTTCGCTTCTCTTGTAAACAGGCAGCCAGATTTGATTGTAGAGGTCGCCCATCCTGTAATATCGAGCCAGTATGGAGAGGCCTTTCTTGCTGTTGCGGATTACATGGTAAGTCTGTAAACTGCAAGTGGAAAGTTGCAGGCATACAGCTTCTCAAGACTGATAGTTGTCACACAGTTATAGTTTCTGACTGACACACTGTGCAGTGACTCTGAGACTGAGGCCGCATGGGAATTACATGACTATGGCTGGAAATTACACATGCGCCTATGGCAGCGGCTGCAGCCGCTTCCCATAGACCCGTGTGTTATCTGCAGCCGTAGCCAAGTAATTCGGATGCGGCTATTCTAACCTTGGCACAGAATTATGATGCTGGTTTCCTATATACACAACAGGTGAATCTGTTGCGATTTTCAAGTGTTACAGCTGCTGCTCTTGAGAATTGTAGTGCCATAAAAGTTACAGTGTTGGATCCAGGGGGTGTGGAAATGTATTTTGTTTTCCCACGTTGCCTGGTTTTCATTTTGAAAAGGCCCCCACAACTGACATTCAAAATCTTTCTTGTTCATTGCCTGAGAGGTTACCAAGTAATTTGTAAAGTTGGTTACGGGTACCCGATTCCATAATCTGGAACCGGTTCCTGACATCAACGTTCGGGTACCCGGTTCTGATGCACACCCCTAGTTCAGCTGAGTTTTTATTAAGGGCTGTGAACTTGAGCAAAACTTTCACTACTACTACTATAACTTCTGCACATCAGTTACCAGACAGACTGGTGGTGGTGCATATATGCATACAAGTTAGTGCATATAAGTTGTAAACACTGCAAGCAAAACCTGATTCATTGGAACTTTCCAATTTCTTTGTTTTCTGATAGGTTGGTTCACCCACAGCTCTGGCCAATCAGGAAGTAGAAGACAAGCTTAGAACAGCTGCAAAGCATCATGGGTTGTACATTCCAACTGGGGCATTCTGGGGAGGAAACGACATTCAGAAAATGGCCGACAGAGGCACATTGAAGGTAAAGAAAACCTTTAAAGCTTTTTCATTGAACATAAAAAAAGCAACACTGCTCTAGTGTCCTTTTGCCAATTTTTTTTGGTTAACTTATAAAAGCGATAGTTACTGGCATTAATTTTTATCCTACCACAAGTTACCTGCTACATGGGCCAATACTTTGTTTACATTTGTACAAAATACCCTTATACCCGCAAACTCTGATTTCCCCTCTGCCCAGATCTGTCTCGTTTTGCCAGAATGTCTTTCGTATATAACCTTTTAATTCAAGCCGTGTTCCCATTGGACTTTTATTTGGGTTAACTTACCATGACTTACCTGTAGAATAACAAAGTTTAGTCCAGTGGGGACGGACGGTAAACTAACCTCCCTGTCAACTTACCGCGACGGTGATGTAAAACTAGCAGGCTGAAAGTGGTCATGGAAGATTTCTGCGCAGCCACGGTGAGTTATCAGAGACATTCTGCCAGTCACTCACATTGAATAAACGTTCCGTCGGTGTTAAACAAAGTCCGAGTCGGAACGCACAGTAGACTTCAGCAAAGGAATGTCGCGGTAAGGTTCCGGGTGGCCGTGGGAAAAAGTCCAATGGGAGCGTGGCTAGTGACTGTTTTCTTTGTACAATCTACTGCAGGCATTGACTGTAACAATGACGAAACATCCTCACAGCTTTAAGCTGAATGGCATCCTCAAAGAGAAGAATGATGCAGTTACAGATAGGAAGACAGTGTTATATGAAGGTATTACAAAAGACTAATGATTATTGCAAATTCTGTTGTATTTAACTAACGAGTACTCTGGCCAGTTGCACAGATACAGTTTTATTGACAGTTTTCTTAACAACTCTTGTGGCATATCATAAAGTGAGAGAGCCTGAAGTTTCAACCCCAGCAGAATTTTTCTCTCAACATTTGCTAATTGTGTATTTCAGATAATTTCATTCATTAAGCTGTTTGAAGAAGCTATTTTTTCACTTCTTGGTTTTTTAGTTTTTATGGTCTAAGAAAATAAGGCTATTGACTAAATGATCATTCTCACTGACCTTCACTTCCAACTTTATTCAAAGATGCGGTCAGTAAAACTGTTGGTGTAACTGGGGTCCAGTTTCTGGGGGTGGGGCCTCATATTCTGGAGGGGTCACTCAATAGGTTTTGACATTAAAACTAACTTTTCGTTCTAAAATTTGGGGGAGGGGGTAGTCTGAGTATCACCTGTTGTCCAACAGAGCCCTCTCCGTAATCAACATCTGATATGTTTGCAAATTTTATGCAACCGGTATGCAAATTTTATGCAACCCGGTGTGCTAGTCATCTGAGTCGGCTTTAGATATTGTGATGTCCTTTTGATCAGAAATGTGGACTAAGCTGTTTATTGGTAATTTTGGCTGACATTTTTGTAATACAACAACGGGTTACGGAAGACCCGATAGAAGGTGTCGTTGAATGGTCAGAATTTCGAGGTCAAGATGCAGTCTTGTTTTGCATGATTAATCCCGAATCTGCTTGCATATTCCATAGACTAGTGGGGGATGGGTGGGAATGGTCCAAGGAGGGAGGGGACTGCTTAGCATGGGCCTCAAGGGTGGGAGGGGGCAGTTACACCACTGAGTATATCTTCTGAAAGCTGCAATAATTTGACTAGCTCCAAATTATAAGATGGAATTTTGCGTCGAACCCACGACCTCCTCGAGTGGTAAGACATCTGCACTAGAAAACAGGAGGTCGTGGGTTCGAGTCCCACCCGAGTGATTTTTTCCAACTTTCACTCGGGAGGTAACACACTGAGTATACAGTGTTTAAAAAACGTCGGTGAAGGGCAAAAACCTAATTTGATTTAGCTCCAAATTCTCAACCTCAGGTTCGGTGCGTGACTTGTGCCCTCTTGCTCCCAACAATGTCAACACCATGGCCGCAGCCTCCATAGCCGCTCACAACCTCGGCTTTGATGGAGTGCAGGGAAGACTCGTGGCAGACCCTCAGTGAGTATCGTCCAGAGTTGTAATTGAGAGTCAAATCACAAGTCAAACTCATAAACCAAATCACGAGGGGGCAGGTTGAGTTCAAATCGGCAATTTTGACCGCTCCTCCTTGTCTGCAGTTGGATGTTTTTTCTGCACCCCTTTTCTGTTACCAATTGTCGTTTCATAACCCTCCTTTTGTTTTATCAGTCACAGACAGTCACAAATTAAGTCCTGTTCCCGTGCCATGCCCTTTAAACAGGCTAGTCACCAACAGTCAGATCATATTTCTTGTAGTCACCGTGACTAGTCAAATTCCATCAACAGACAAAGACCGGTATGTAGGCACAGCCGGCTTACCAATCTCCTACAGTCAAAGCATAGCCGTATCAGGCATCATAACAATCACAGCCAGTCAATCCTGCTTTATTAAGGCAGGGAGCACTCAGCTGTTAAAAACTGTCACTTGATTTATTTTGGCTGCTGGACTGGCCTTGTTGAAATTGCCAGCTACAGTTAATGAATGATTGATCACCGATGCAGAAGAAAAAATGAAGACCTATATATATATTCCCCTTGGCTATAAATACTAGATTGAATCGCACTATGGGCTCCCTGTGCCAACAAGAGAGGGTGCTTTTTACCACTTCAGAGCACCATAAATGGGACACACCCCATATGCATACTGTTCCACGCGTATTGTGCGAAGTTCACACCACTTATTTGACCTGAATGTACACAAGGCCAAAGCGTCTTCGTGTGAGCTTCAGGCATAGTTGGCAATGCATTTGAATGTCTCTCCCAGTGGTTTCTCCCAGCTCTCCCTTTCTTACATTGAGGGGGTACTTGTGCACGGAGCCCATATTATATGCATTATATTGAAGTTTCCTTCAGTCTTACATTTTTTACTCTTCGGTATAGCGACAGGTTAAATGCTCCCCCAAACTGTGTCAAACTGAAGAGCATATACTTTTCCTACTCGTTTTTGTGATCCATCACAGCCTGATGGACTGGCATATTGTCGAGGTGGATGTAACGGGACCTGGCGATGTTGAAGCAGGCAAGGCGTTCACTGTCTCAACAGTGCGCAGGAACCCTGCCCAAGTCGGCAAAGTCACAGGCAGTGCGACATACGCCTCCTTCCTCAGTAGCATGCTTGGTGAGTCAGTTCAAGTAAATTCCTCTTGTCTAGTAACCCCAGCTCCCTACTTACTTTTACTCAGTAAAGGACCGTGTCCGTCAAAATCCTTCACTCACTCCGCTTCACATATGTGACGTTATGAAATCCACTACTGAAGTGCTGGTGGATTTTGATCGACTTAGTAATACACTTGGCTTATATGACAACAGCAGTACTGGATGCTAGGCAAAAACCAATCAGATTCCCCTAGCACTGCTTCAGGCCTCCCGGCCCAATTCCATCATACTCTAGCAAAATTTAGTCAAACCAGGCCAGCAGGATCATACCCCCCAAAATCCACCAAAATGGGGGGATGAATTTGGATGAACTTTGTGGAAAACAACCTCGATTCGGCATTTGTGTTAAAGTCCTCATAAGTTAATCACAAGTCATCCAGTAACAAGTTAAGTCACAAGCTTTTCAGATGACAAAGGCATTCCTGTGTTATTGTTCACACCCTGTTACTTGTGACCTGACCTGTGGTTTGACTTGAGACAGACTTCTGACCGACTTGATAAGAGCTCTTCGAATAGTGCATAAGAGTCGGAGCATAGTGCTCAGAATGTTGAGTTAACACTGTCTCCCATTATAGAGATAGTCACTTCTCATTGTGGAGTTTTACGGTTTACTTCTCCCGAGTTGAATCAAATCTCAAATCCTTATTTGTTATTGTATTTTCTGCAGGAGCCCATGGGAGAGGTTCAGGAGTGCACCTGTGCTGACCCTGGCTCACCCTAGGAGCTAGCATTGATCGTGGAGCCTGGAATAGCCTCCAGGGTGCATCCTAGTGTATAATGCTGTCACTCCTTGCTCCTTCATACATTTATACTACTGCTGCTAATAGTCTACCAAGACGTTTGATGCTGGCTTGATCCCGACTTGAACTCGGCTTGACCTCATGCCATGACCTCCGCCTGCTTCTTGTGTTTGCATTCACACAGGAACTCAGCCATGCTGCATGTGATCAACCAAAGATTGTGAATCCTGGTGCCAGGACTTACCTTAAACCCAGTAGCAACTGTACTACATTGTATTACATTGTGTTTATTCCCAGATGAAACCCATATAAATCCACACAGTGCTTGGATGGTATTTGGGCAGTATTGGCTTTTGGATTGACCGTAACCCTGCCAGACACAACACAGTGCATCAGGTGTAAAAGTCTGTGGGACCTTGCTGCATTGAGCCATCAACACCAGTGCATAAACAGCCAATTCTGAAACAATGAGAGCTAGTCCATTGTGCAAAGCCACAGTTGTATGCTGCTGCAGTTGGTGACCACAGACTCTGAGGCAGTTCGGCCTTGAGATTTTTTTTACTTCAGGGATCTTGCTACATTGGACAGGCTTGTCATTTTGGCAAGTGCTGCATGATGCTGCATTCAGCAGGGTTTCTAGCCATAACTGCTTTCTGCTCCTTGCACAATACTCTTCCACTGACCCTGATCTATCAAGAAGATTTAAATTCCTGTGCCCCGACTGACCTGTGGAGACTCTTAAGCATATTCATATTGGCAAATGGAGAAATCCAACTTTGCTGCCTCAGTTCTACAAAGCAGCCTCCCTTCTTGAGCCATTCATAAAAACCTAAGACAGTTTACCCATTCCTATTGACTGAGAGTCCATCTCCTGGCTGGTTTTAAACTGCTGATAAAGCACCAGCTGGTTTTAAACACTTTCTTTTTGCACCACTGAGTTTTGCGCTGCATCGCACAGTACCCGCCCCGCATGCATGCCAATTTCCATTTAAGGAGATTTTTAGCACTATGGGCACACTTTTAGCACTATGAGACACATGCCATAGACTTGGCCACTGGCCAGAGGGGTGTTTTACAAAACACAAAGTGAAATTGTTGAAATTTTGTGAAAGTTTGACTTGTTTTGACTTTTGACCGAAAGGATAAATATTCTTTATCCATTATCCTTTGGCCATTATCCAATATCTGCTAATTGCTTTTATGCACATGACCCTCAATTCAAAGCCTATGATATTCCCTGTGTCCCTGTTTCATATACATGTATAGCATTGGTCCCAACTCTCGTTGAGACAATCTCAACAGTAAATGGGGATCGTCTAAACTATCTTTTGATGCTAAAGTTGGGGGTTAAGGTAATCACATCAGAGAAGCCCCCAAAAAGGTATTGTTTGTTTGTTTGTCAAAACCCCACTGAGTGATAATGAGGTTCCTAAATAACAGGCCACCCCCACCCCCCTTCAAATTGAACCCCAGTTATACCCCCGCAAAAGACGACAACATAAAGTCTTTCTTGTCTTTTCGAGTATAAGGGGAAATTTGATACTTCTGTTATAGTTGAGCAACCACAAATAATCAAAAGAGATAAAGCAAAAGAACATTATGCTAGTCCTTTGTAATATTGCTGCATCTGAAAAATAAATCCAGCTGAATTGCTATCCATATTTTTGTACATTGTTTTTTTTTCAAAATGAAGGTAATAAAATACAGGTATTGTAACTGAAATGGTGCTGTTCTTTAAAGTGTTGACTTGTTGGTTAAATGCTGAGAATCCTGCAGCTGTGTACATGGAATTTCCACTTTGACCAGGAAAAAAAATAGTGAAGTTGACCTTCAATGTGCCCATGCAGGGCCAATGATCAGAAAGAATCGAACATATTTGTTTTGTGGTTTACATGCCTTGTTTTCATTTCTAGGTGTTTTGGCTGATCCCGATTTCTGAATTATAATTCAAGATGTTTGTCCTGGATGCAATAGCTAGAAATTGGTTAGTTTTGCATGCATTTTAAAAATTTTGTTCAGATAAATATTTCCATTTCTATAAAAGAAAGACAAAGGGAGGGGGTGGTGAGGTGGGGTTGGGGGAGGGGGTGGTGAGGTGGGGTTGGGGGAGGGGGTGGTGAGGTGGGGTTGGGGGAGGGGGTGGTGAGGTGGGGTTGGGGGAGGGGGTGGTGAGGTGGGGTTGGGGGAGGGGGTGGTGAGGTGGGGTTGGGGGAGGGGGTGGTGAGGTGGGGTTGGGGGAGGGGCTGGTGGTTCCTCAACTTGTGTAGCAGCTCTGATGCAAGCAACCACCTACCCTCCACTCTTGGGGGAATTTTTTCAAAAGAGTGTTTTACTCCTAAATTAGTGTCTTTCTCTATGGATGATTCGCTGCTTTCCAAGGCCTTTAAACATACACACAGGAGGCTCTTGCTGGGCCCAATTTGAGGGGGGGACTGTGGCATAATCTATGTTCCATCTCATGTCTCAGAAATACAAAATCCAACAATTTTGACGAAAGCTAAAACCATTTCCATTTGGCTTGAATGGAAAAGGTTTCAAAAAGAGTAGCCGATGTTTCGAACAGAGAAAAGTTCACTGCCACGCCCACCAAAGAAAAGTCTGTGAAACTTATAGGACGCCCTCTATTGACTTCAACAATCAGTTGGTAGTCGTGACGTGTACATATCAGTATATCGACTGATGGTAAAGTCTATTATTAGAATTAAATGGCTGACGGCACCCAGAAGTAAATTTTCACGCGTGTTCACGGAGTTGCCGGTTCTGTTATAAATTTTGCTAGAATTTGTTGCAGCAATGGATTACTCGAAGTTCAAAGTCTCACAGCTGAAGAAGGAGCTGAAGAAACGTGGTCTGCGGGTCACAGGACTGAAACAAGAAATGGTAAAATAAAGAAATGACTTGCCTACTCGCTTGTTGTCAAGGGTTCACGTTCGCACACTCAGACACTCGACTCGCAGCAGTTCAGTCACGTTTCAAATTCAACATTGTCATTGTCAATGGATGGGCGGGGCGGGGGGATGGAGGAATGGCCTAATGTTATGCCATAACAATTTTTGCATATAAAGAAAATCTTGTATTCCATGTTATTATTGTTAAGTTGCGTTTGTTTTATATTGTTTTATTTAAGATGGAATTTGTGTCGGGGAGTTGTAAATTCTGTATATTATTGGAAAGAATTTTTACACTTTTTTACAGCCTAGAGGCTAGGCCTACACCACTTCAGCGGTTGTGTACAATTATGACAAAGTCTATGGAGAGTCAAGAAAAAGTTTTTGTTATTTCCTAACAAATTTGGAAATGTTTCTCAGATTCATGTCTTTTCAACATTTTTGAAATAACTGACCTTTATTGAGAATATATGAAGAAAAAGTGGCATGGTTGCAACATTCTGGTCTTATTATATCCTCGATCCTCCTATTTCTGCGCAGATAAGGCTTTGCAACCCAGTAGCTTAAAAAAAGCAAAGCAACCACTCTTTTCCTCAACAAAACTTGTATTGTTATGTTAGCTTACGATCATCCACCATACATGCCATACTGATTAACAAAGGGAAATCCCTTTATTTGTGGCAGCAAGCGGGGAATTCCAAAGTGTGCAGTTCCGGCATTGTAGAAAAGAATCCTGCCCAATTCTGCGCAGGAGATGCTTCATGAAAAAAATGTGCTGTCCGGGCCACATAACTCAATATAAACATTTCTTTTTAATAACTTAGACTTGTTGGCTTTAGGAAAATAAATTTCCTGAGCTTTTCAAACATATTTTCTTTTTCCTTTCTTTTTTCAATGTCAATACACTTTTCGTAATTTCACGAATATTTTCAATATCCCATTTTGGAGATTTATTCAAAGGCCTATATTTACATTTTTACATAAATAGATTTTATACATATTTACCTATTAAATGTAGATCCCAATGATATTGTTATTCTGATCATCCCAATCAACGGAGACAGTTTTTAAGATGTCGGATTTTAAAACTTATGGCCGAAAAAAATCCAAAATGGTATAAGAAATGTGTCTTGTTAGTTGCACCGTAGGTTTTACACCCTTGTAGAAACTGCAAATTCTTATACAAAGACTACATGTATGATATCTTAACTATAGTACTGACGATATTAGGAGACCAAGAAAGGTCACCTTTCGGTCATATTTTCGAATTACTGCATGCCCGAAAGCACTGCCTGCATGTGTACTTAGTAATTAGCTGTAAAATGCCAATGTTTTTCATTTTATGCCTGGATTCCAGGTAAAGCCTTAAATTTCCACATTTTTTCCGCTGCTGGTTAAAGTTCGTGCATCAAAGGATACGATCCCAGTGACAGATTGTCATTTTTTAGGATGCACGCCTTGCAAAATATAACTTAAAGGCGAGTGCGCAGAAATAGGAGCGCGTAGCTTTAGGAGGTCTGATGATACTAGTTTTGCCCTTGTTTTGTTTTGCTGGTAGAGGGGGAAGTTTAGCATGTTTACAGGCATGACACAGGTTTAGGCCTTTTATTTACCGTCATGGTTATTTTGTAATATTGTGTGCTTTGCTGAAATATGCAGAGTCATGCCACCACTTTTCACTGCATAATTGTGACAGGTTAAACAAATCTAAATTGGTGTTAAGAGAAATTTCAATCTGTATTGTAAAAATATTTTATCTAGGGATTGGCAGCAAAAAAAGTACAGTTTCAAAAACACGAACCGTGAATGGGTCCCGTATTTTTTTCCACTTTTGTGCTGGCACTTCCTCTGCGTAATGTGCGCATGCGCATTTATAGAAGTACATGTACGCAAATTATAAGGCCATTGTTGATTTAACATGTCAATCACACCAGTCTGCAGACATACATGTAATGAGGCCAAAAAACAAAAATAGTTCTGCTTCCGGTTTCCCTACCTACCCTATTCTGACAGCCCCTACCCTAATTTGTTTATGGCAAAAATGAGAAAAAAACTTCCAAAACCATCAATTTTTACCTTTTACCCTTAACACGCAGACGCCTCCGTATGATCGTACAAAAAAATTCCCTACCTAACCTACCCTATTTTCGAATGCCATGTAATCGGAAGCAGGAACTTTTTTTTTTTTTTTGGCCTGAATGTGAATGGCTAAACGTTAAAACAGTTCTTAAAATATTTGCCAAACATTTACAAAATTAAACGCAAAGTCGCATCCTTAGAAAGAACGACTTACTGTGACTAATTTTTGAATTTTTTTGTGATTACGAAATACAATTTGTACACATCAAACTGCATGATATCTTAAAAGGCCCATGACATGAATCTTACTCAGGAACATATTTTGTGCAACTTTCTTCTCTTAAATGTATGAAATCTATTCGACATCCCTTTTTGGGGGGTTAATTTGATAGAGAAGTGCACTTTTTTTAAACATTTAAAATATTCCCTGCTTTTTTCTGACAAATGAGGGCGCTGTTGCTGTGATGTCATTTGAAGAAGACACTGTTCATCACTTTAGGGGATTTTCTGTTCAAATGGTTAACACAAACCTTGCTCATTGAAAACATTTGTGAGAAACTTTGTTCATTGGCTTAACGTCATGTGCCGAATCAACAACGAATCGGCAAAGAAAAGTACAGCAAACTATCACAAATTCTGGCAAATTTTGGTGCTAAAATACAATGTACAAAACGTAGCTGCAACATTGAGGTTTCTGCCTGAAACGACATCACACTTTTTCTCACAAATATAAAAATTTGCACTTGTATAAAAACCAAAAAGGCACCAAAATGCTCATAAAAATGGCAAAAAGGAAAATGAATATAAGATAATTGGAACACAAAGGTGCGTTTTCAAGGATTCCTTTTTAAAAAAAAGTTAAATTACATGGGCCCTTTGCTGCTATCATCTTTCTCCTTCTATTTCTTCCATTTATTTGCCTGCCAGATCAATCGTCTCAAGGAGACAGACCAGATGTTCCAGCAAAACAACCTAACCCCAGGCATCGGGGAGCTCATCAAGGGACCCCGGCAGTCCCAGAGGGGGACGCCCAGCCCGCTGGAGTCGGAGGACCACCACGAGATACGGGAACAGCACCGCCTGGAGCGCGAAGAGAGAGCTAAGATCACACTGCTCAAGAAACCCCTGACTACAATGATGTACTTTGGGCTGGAGTTGTGGGTGATACTGGTGGGGTGGTGTCACCGGTAAGGAGTAGTGATGGCAATGGGGAATGTATTGGGGGGGGGGGGGGGGTTGAGGTACGTGAGGAGGGGGGTGGGGGCAAAAGGGGGTTGGCTGCCCAATCCCACCCCCACTCCCCATTCCCCAAGAACCAGAGATGTAAATCCTCTTTCAATTTCCTGATTTCAGGCTTTTTCAAATCATCTGCCGTCACAGACAGTCAAAAATTCAATCCTGTGCCCCTGTCATTTTACACAGGCCAGTCACCAACAGTCGGATCATATTTCTGGTAGGCAATGTGACTAGGTTTAATAGGCACCCTGACTGGTCAAATTCCATCAACAGGCAAAAACAACTGACTGGTAGGCACAGCTGGCTTACCAATCTCCTACAGTCAAAGCAAAGCTATATCAGGTTTCATCACAATCACAGCCAGTCAATCCTGCTTTATAAAAGCAGGGAGCACTCAACTGTTAAAAACAGTCACTTGATTGATTTTGACTGCTAGGCTTGCCTTGTTGAAATTTGCCAGACAGAGTATGCATGGAATTACAAACATACATTCACTTAACTAAGGCTGGGTCACTGAGGCCAACTTAATTATCTTAGATATTTGGGGTTTGACTGTACTTCTGATATTGAAGACTGCTTCCAGTTCCAGTGTAATGTACACAGAAAATATCCAAACATCAAAAATGTTCTTTGTACAAAAATATACCTGTACATGTACATTATTTAGAACCACAGTGTGCATAATCGAAGGGTCATACATCAGTTTGAATGGGTTGCTTTGTAAATGAATGATCCTGAAAGGTTGCATAGAGATTGTTGAGGGAGGTTTCCTTTCATTGGCAAAACATGCAGGTACATGCATCATTTACACATAACACAAATACTGTATATAGTTTCCATACATTTTGAAGCCGAGCTGCAGTGTATAGGCTTTGCACAGAATGATTCCTTGAAGTCCAATACTGGTAACCTTTGCACAAAGTATCTGTGGAATTCATGAAACAGGCCATTTCACTACAGGTGGTGGTCTGTGCATTATAAATTCTGCGGTGCAGATAAAAATAGTAAATTATTGACGACTGGATGTCAGTAAAATTATTGTTCTGCATTGTATCTTGCAGTTGTGTTCTCTTGACTAACTAGCCACAATCAATGTGCTGCATAATACTATTTGGAAAAAATCTTGAGCAAACTTCTCTGTAATTGAATATTTAATCTGATTAAGAGATTTTGTGTAAATTGAGATACAAAACAAATAACACAATTAATAATGGTAAGTAAAACACAGGTACTGGGGAGAAGAAGGTCTTAAGTATCAAAACTGAACCTGGTAAATTCCCTCTATAATTCTATATTGTCAGGAAATCTAGTTCTTAAAGGGAATAGACAACATTTGCAAACATCGAAAAATAAAACTACCACGTTTTTACGAAATACCTTGCTAGGATGTTGGTAAATGACAGTCTCAAGCATCTTGTAAAATTATGGCACCTGGTGTGAAGTCATTTTCGAGAAAATTGTATTTTTGTATACATTTCCAACGGTGGTCAGCCGACCAGCGTTGGAAAAACCTAACTATTTTTCAACTACTGCTCCAAATTTACCATTTTTTCAGTCCAAATTTTGTTTGCTATAGGTTACATGTTCATGAACGGGTGCAGGCCAGCTAGACTGCATGGTTCCCTTGCCTTACAATTTTCCATCATCTATAAATTGATCCATTTTATCTTTTGTGGAGTCAGGGACCAGACTACTTGAACATTTTTGTTTTTCTTGGTTTTTCCAACCTTTTCGAACACAAAACTTCACAAATGTCAGTGTAACAATATTTGATTTATTATACTAACCCCTTGAATAGTTCATTTCCCAAAATTACAGCAAAAGCCAATGATGTACATTCCCTTTAACAGAATTTAACAGTGTGAATATACATGCACTTGCCGTGTTTGGGTTTGGAGCTTTACAGTGTAAAATGCAATTTTGGCAAGCGTCATCTGTCGCGGTTCAGTACTCAGCTACCCGGTTCCAGTTTGTAACAAATGTTGACAATGTTATTAAAATGTTGAGTAGGGTACGCTGCAGTTACATTAGCTTGAGTTTATAGCACCACATAAGTTGAATGTACATGTACATGTACTTGCTTGGTGGTGTTTCATGTATGCTTCATTGTAATTGTGAACCTCAGAAACTGACAATCATTGTTGCACAACATTGTTCATTCATAGAACTATTAAAACGAACAAAATGATGAAATGACCTGAATGATAGGCTGCGTGCCAATTACTTGGCTACGGCTGGATATAACACACGGGTCTATGGGAAGTGCTTCCATAGGCGCGTGTGTAATTTCAAGCCGGACACAGCCAAGTGGTTAGTATTGATGGATCCCTGTCTTCTCTCCATGCCAGGTTATGGCTAAATAGGAAGAAGGTACTTGTCACCAGTCTACTCGTAGTGTCCATGCTAGTACTGTATCACCTTGAGGGAAGTCACCAAGTGGTAAGTTAGGTCTACTACAGACCTGCCTCATACATGTATGTGAGGACAGACACTGTCTACTAAGCATCCAAAATCGTATTGCTTGCTATGTACATGCCGTTTCTACCCTCCCTACATGTATATACACTTACCGTGCTATTATTTACAACGTTGATGCTGTGGTCACGTGATGCCAAAATTTCCGCAAAACTGATCTTTTCTGCACTAGCATGTTTATCTCTTGAACTAGGAGTGGTTTAAAAAGTGTTGACATAAATTTTTTAGCCATAACTCTCCTCAATCAGCCAAAATCCTCCAGGCAGTTTTTGGAGGATTTTTGGAGGATTGAGGCTGAATGGCCCAAAAAGTGTCTGTTGATTTTGGAGGATGCATTGTGTTGAGTAAGTAGGCTGTACCCAACATTGTTAATGTTCAGTCATGCAAAATCATGGGCCCTGCATTGTGCTCCATATCTTCCGCACTGCTTCTGAATGTCATCGGCACTGCCTCAAGCAATTGACAGTGCTTGTTGGAGGATTTTGAAGGTTTGAGGCAATGGTCACCCCTCCACTAGCCCTGGACAAATTCAAGAAATAACAGATGATTTTGGAAAATTGAGGCTGTCTCCATATTTTGACACGGTGGCAGTTGGAGGATTTTGCAGGATTGAGGATGGTTCCCAGCCAAAAGGGCCTAGAGGGTTAGGGTTAATGATGGAAAATAACATGGGAAGGATGTTTGGATTGACTGTCTTGCCTGTTGGTATGACGTCACAGGTAACATGGTCTATTAATCTATATCTGAGACATTGAGATAGTGTTCTGATCTAATTCAATATTGGATATCTTACAACCTTTTACCACAAAACTTTTCTGCAAATGCATTTATATGTAGGTTGTGTGTTAAAACCCTAGCAGAACTCAACCCATCAAATCCCAACGGCACGTTTTGTTGGAATTTGCCAGGATGGGTATGGTTCCTAGTAACTCATGCCAGGGAGTAAGGGTTGATTATTAGCAATGAAAAGAACTGGAGCTGTATGGGCATTTTTCCCTAGCCGATATATATCAGATTCCCGAAGTACAATCTTTCCATCTTGTATTATTTCCTTCCAATAGTATGTTCAGCGTATGAGGAAACAGACAGTATGGTGCCTGTATTGGATAGGCCTAGGCGTCCTGTCATCAGTGGGGTTGGGTACCGGACTTCATACCTTTCTCCTGTATCTGGTAAGTTGAAAGTCGCAAAAAGTAAATATTGAAATGTGCTGATATGTTTCTGAAGGATTATGCCAAAAACAAAAATACTTCTTATTACATGGTATTTGAAAATAGGATAGGTACGGTAGGTACTAGGGGGTTTTTTTTGTGCAAGTTGTTTTATGTTGATCATATGTAGGTGTCTGCGTGTAGTCAAGAGTAAAAGGTAGTAATTGATGAGGTTTTTTTCCCCCTCATTTGTCCCCAAAACAATTGGGGTAGGGGCTGTCAAAATAGGGTATGTAGGGTAACCAGAAGCAGAACTATTATTTTTGGGCCTTATCCGTGATTGTTAGCTCAGAACAGTGCTGTTGTACTAATACTAATATGTACACATGTATTAGTGCACGTACTAATACTCATAGTCATACTCGAGTACATTTGTTGGTAATCGTACTCATACTCCTGAAAAAAATTGCCTCGTACTCATGTTTATGTATTCATACTCGCACTTGTACTCATGGAAATGTACTCGACTACTACACACTGACTTGGAATACATTCAGAATATGAAACCTTCTTGTCTTGTTATGTCTTTGTTTTCAAACAATTCTGTGATTATTATAAGATGGAATTTTGCGTCGGGGTGATATAAATCAAATTAGGTTTTGCCTTTCACCGACGTTTTTTAAACACTGTATACTCAGTGTGTTACCCGCTGCTATGTACATAAGATTCGAACCGGCCAACCGATCCTGTTAGCTCGGTGGTCGAGTGGTAAGACATCTGCACTAGAAAACAGGAGGTCGTGGGTTCGAGTCCCACCCGAGTGTTTTTTTCCAACTTTCACTCGGGAGGTAACACACTGTGTATACAGTGTTTAAAAAATGTCGGTGAAGGGCAAAACCTAATTTGAATTCTGTGATTGCTATTGTACACAGACTCTATCAAGTGATCTATGCTTTGAAAGTTGGTGTGTTTTTCACAGTGATGTCATCTGTTTGTTTGTAGGGTCCCCATATAGCATCAGTCACCCTCGCTGCCTTTGAGTGCCAATCTGTGGACTTTCCTGAGCCGCCCTACCCAGATGAGTATGTTTCTATTCACTCTGATTGTGATGTTACAAAATAATATTCAAATATTGAATGTTTGTGACTGCAATGGTAAGGGTAATTTCTAGAGGTGACAGATGGAATGTTCCATTTGCCTTGTGGAATGGAACATTCCATCTGTCACCGAATGAAATTATTCTTTCCATTGCAGGAATGTGGAACATTCATTATTGTGTTATACATCACCTGAATAAATCCTGGTCATCTGATTGGTCAGAGCCGCCAAAAGTGCGACCGTGCAATGGATCTTACATTAACCGTGGACTGGAACTTCTATTTCTGCCGTGCGGCCGTGCCGTGCGTTGGGACAAAAAATGCAATGACACACGATCAGCGACCCACCAGTCAGATGACGGCAATTTATTCAGGCCTTGTATAAAATGGATTAAGCATTTTTGATAAATTGATAATCTGAATTATCATCCCAAAAAGATTTTGTTAACAATTTGTTTCCATCTGAATTGTGTAAAAATAAAATAGCACGTCATTTTTGCAAACAAAAAGGGAACATTTTTGGATAACAAGACAGCTACAATGTAGTCAGTAATAATGTGTATTACAATTTCATTTCAGACAAGTTGCAAAAAAATATAATAATTTGATTAGTAGTTAATTTTTCCACTACATGTACTTGATTTCGTTTCAGGATTGTTTGTCCAAGTGAGCAAAGCACATATCCTATGACAGTATGGAATGTCATCAGTAAAGTAAGGCTGGAAGCGTTCATGTGGGTAAGTGTGTGTGGTACTATTGCCAAAACAATAAATAAATAAATGAATAAAAAATTATTACAAATAATTTTTAGAAGCAAACCTAGTTTGGGATGGTCCATGATAACAATTTTCTAGAGCTTCTAGAAAATTGCTAAGCGCATGAAAATGTTTGCTAAGCCGGTTGCTAGCTGAAATGTTATGTGATGTATGTTGCCATTGGCACAGGGGTTGTCTTGATTTTCGCTTAGCTCATTCATTTGCTAAGTAATATTTTCCGTGATAACCCTAATTATCAGATCTCACTCAACTCTGAGCCTCAGCCTCAGAATATACAGTGTTTATACGTCGGTGTAGGGCAAAACCTAACTCAGATCCTCTCGATAGGTTGGTAATCAGTACTTGATACCTTGGTACTCGGTACTCAACAGTTTGGTACTCTGTATTTGATAGCTCTTGGTACTTGGTACTCGATTGCTCGGTACCCTATAGCTTGGTACTCTGCATTTGGTAGCTTGGTACTGAGTACTTGATACCTTGGTAATCAGTACTTGATAGCTTGATACTCTGTATTCGATAGCATGGTACTCGGTACTCCATAGCTTGGTACTCTGTTCGATAGCGCTTGGTACTCGATAGCTTGATACTTGGTACTCGATACCTTGGTACTCGGTACTCGATAGCTTGGTACTCTGTATTCGATGGCTTGGTACTGAGTACTCGATACCTTGTAACTCGGTACTCGATAGCTTGGAACTCAGTACTCGATACCTCGGAACTCAGTACTTTGTAGCTTGGTACTCAGTACTCGATATCTTGGCACTCGATAGTTTGGTACTTGGCTGTATTTTGTACTCATATATACGTACTTGACTACAACACTGTAGAATTGTTCATTTAAACTGTGGGTTTTTTCATTCTTCATTCAGGGTGCTGGTACAGCAATTGGTGAATTACCTCCGTACTTCATGGCAAAGGCTGGTAAGATTATTAAATGCACATTAACCCTAAACTCCCCAGCCTAATTGACTAGGAACCATACCCATTCAGGCAAATTCCAACACCCACATGGGAAATTGTATACACACACTGTTGGACTTAGTTTCTGGAGGTATGCCAACCCCAGTGTAAAAGACCATCTGTTTAGGGGTACTGTACCTATCCCAACAGATTTAAACACAAACCTGCTGTTGAACTTTGATGGGTTGTGTTCGGTTAGGGTTAACCTTAACTCTCAGTCCTCCAAAATCCTCCTAGGGGTTTTGAAGGATTTAAGAAGATTGAGGCTGTATGGCAAATAAGTGTCAGTTCATTTTGGAGGATGCAGTGTGTCGAGTCCGTAGGGTGTACCCAGCATTGTTTATGCTCAGCCATGCATTGAGCTCTGCATTATGCTCGATACTGTCCGCTCTGCTTGTGAATGTCATTTAGGCACTGCGGATGGAGGCAATGGTCACCCCTCCACTGAACACATTCAGGAAATAACAGATGATTTTGGAGGATTCAGGCTGAATCCAATTTTTAAATAGTTGCCATTGGAGGATTTTGCAGGACTGAGGATACTTCCTAGCCAAAAGGACCCAGGGGGTTAGGGTTAAGCTCCATGTAAACTAATCTTAGCAGGGCGCTGCCTAAATACCCCAGAATAAAAACAAAAACATTGAAATCACGGTACCTGCGCATCATATGTTATTGATTTGATGGTTGATTGGTAGTACTCACTTCTGATGGCAAACATGTTTGTACTTTCAGCTCGGTTATCAGGGTATGAGCCAGACAATGAAGATTATGAGGAGTTTGAAGCGATCATGGAGCACATGTCCGAGGACCCTCAGCAACAGGTACAAATGAGAACTACTTCTGTAATTTTGTTTCTTCTGGCGAGTGCCATGTGGCTACTCGCAGGAATCAAGTTGTATGCAATTTTTACAACTCTGCGTGCCTAGCTCTCGTATGTTTTCCACAAAGCTTGTATGATTACACAGCTATAAATACAGATCCGGACAATGTTTATTCTTATGTCCCTTTTTAATTGAGTTAATTTGACATGCATTCATTGTGGATGCTTCACTTTATACCAACGATTATTTAAGGCTGAACTTGTTTAAATGCATTGTTTTTTGCACCCCAAAAAACGTTTTTTCAATGTACATTTAAATTAATTTCGCTTATGTTTTTTCAGCTGCATTGAATTTAAGTTCGTGCACTGTTTTATGATAACATTTTTTTATTGTTACGTATCGTTTCCTTTTTTGCTAGGACTTTGCAACTCGTGTTAAGCTTGGTATTCAGAGGCTAGTACAACGCGTTGGATTCTTCGGTATCTTAGCATGTGCATCCGTAAGTCAAGCATGTTGTAAAAAAGGTTTTATCGATTAAATATTTGTATAAAGTGGTGAAAGGACTTCTGAAAAAGAATTCAAAGACAATTGTTTTGTTCACCTTGCAGCATAATTTATGAAATTAAATTGAATATAACCCTCATGTGTCGGGCGTTCTTACAGAATTATACTAAACTGGGAACTGGCCACAAAACGAATGGGGATATTTTGGCTTGGGGGGATTTATTGATAGTTTTAATCTTTGATATGTCTACTACATATAGTTTTATGTAGTATACAAATCATGGAATAAAAGTGTTTTGAAGGAAAAACAATGGGTATCTTTCATTATCACGACTACAAAACTTGAAATTTTAAGGGCTTTTGTCACTATTTACTTGTTTAACATTTCGATAAATGCCAACTTTAAAAAGCCGTAACTTGTCTACGGAATGTCCGATTAAGTGCAACAAACAGTATTGTACGGAGACTTTTATTCTCTTTCCTAATACCAACAAACCCTCATTGCGACCCCTGCCCAGTTCTGTCTCATTTTGCCAGAACACCTCACACATTTCTTTATCGTAACTGTTTCATTTTTAATCTGTTTGTCCAGATCCCTAACCCATTATTTGACTTGGCTGGCATCACCTGCGGTCATTTCTTGGTTCCGTTCTGGACATTCTTTGGGGCGACCCTCATCGGGAAAGCAGTAATCAAGATGCATATACAGGTAATTTGCTTCCTCTATTCTGGGCCCAATTTTACGGCGCTGCTTAACAGTCAGCAGAAAAGTTGTGTTTAGCATAGCAGAAAAATTTGCTAACCTTAAGCACTATTTCACGGCGTGGATTTGCTAACAGTCATGCGTGCATGGAGATTTCCATTGTTACGTCACTGCGTGTATGTTAAGCAAATTTTTTCCCCGTGGTAAGCGTGCCCTTTGCTGTGGTTATGCTTACTCTGTTAGCATACAATTGTGTGCTTAGCAGCGCTGTGAAATTGGGCCCTGTTGTATAAAGTGAGATCTCTTCCAACTGCTCTGCCCGTTACTTCCCATACCGCCCCAACCTGCCCCATCACTGTGTGTTTTCATGGATCCGTCATGTAAATGCAATGCTATACAGTGTCGTACAAGCATTGATGGATTAGTCTATTCTGTTGCGGACAGCTGTTGGCCAAATTTCATGGCATTGCTTAATAGTTAGCAGAAAAGTTGTGCTTAGCATAGCATAGCAGAAAAATTGTGCTAGCCTTAAGCACTATTTCACAGCGTGGATGTGTTAACAGTGGCGCGCGCATGGAGATTTCTGTTGTTACGTCACTGATTTAAGCAACTTTTTTCTCACTGGGGGTTAAGCGTGCCTTTTGCTGTGCTTACTGCTTACAGTCTCTGTGAGATAGACAGATGCTCTTTTAGCGCCATGAAATTGGGCCCTGCTATTTAAAGCATTCCCATTTTGCCCCTTTGAACCTTGCTTTGTTATTTTTGCAATTGTGGTCTAGAAACTTTGGGTTCTCCGATAGCCAGATTTAGAAACTGTTTGGAAACTTGGGCATTAAAAAAAAAATACTGTAATAGTATTACAATAGAAACTAGTGGAAAATTTGAGAAGGAAGCTTAACACCCTATTAAGGCGGCCCTAAATGGAGCAAGTGAACAGCTGAGCTGCTTTCAACTTTCTGCAAGGGTTTTTTTGTGTACAAATCGGAAATGATTTACCGGCCTGTTTGTTTGTTGTTTCAGAAACTTTTCGTCATTCTGACATTCAGTGAGCATCATGTTGAAGCCTTAGTCGACTTACTTGGGTAAGATTTTCAAATGTTGTAAAATGTGATGGAATCCTCAATAGGAGAAGTGGCTGTTCTTTTCATGTCTGAATCGAGTAACATAGTAATTGTGTATCTGTTGTGGTAATTCACTTTTTAAAATATGGATGCTAGACATTGGGTGCATTTGAGTAGCCCTTACACATGTAAAGGTAAAACTTACATGAGAGCGTTTGAATAGCCATCATGTGATACTCGTGTCTGCCTCACGTCAACCACTGCTGCCCGGTGACCAGGTCCCTGGTGGCCGCCCAGTTGTAATGACGTAATCGGACGATTTCGTGGCTAGCTAGATTAAAGATGGCAGGAACTTGAATAGGAATTGATTACAATGGAGATATTTATGACAGAAATATTCCCCTTTATTAAAGTTGTTCAGTTGGATCATAGAGCAAAGAGACAGTTACAGTGTATATGTATTTTTGTTAATCCAGAGCATATCTTCTAGGCCATCAGCCTCAGTCCAAAAATATGGCCACCGGTATCAAATGAGGGGAATAATTGTCATAGCGATTTTTGGCAAGGTATACACCTCCAGAGTTGGAAAATATGTGATAGCATTGCAACGGTGGCAGCTTTTTGGTTGTTATCCTTTTTTTCAAAATGTCCATCAAAATGCTTGTTACCACTCTAGGGGCGTTATTCCTTGTGCATGCACACAACAATCATTTGTCCCCTGATTTGATACTGACCAAACCCCCAGGCTGATGGCCTATTCCGATTCTAGCAATTATTATTGATCTGGTTGCAATGATCAAGCTAATTTTATTTTACCAGTGAAGCACAAAACAGTATGTTTGTTTACATTTTAAAGTCCCGCCCTTCAACGACCAACGACCTTCCAAGAATGCTAGGTGAATTCACCACAGCGTTCGATTAGCCTCATTTGGTGGCTTCCTCGAGTGTAAGCCAAGGGAAGTTAGTCAAACACATCCATTGATATAAGTTTACTGACAACTGGCTTTTGATTGTGCATTATACATGTTATAGCAACAGTGTTCATTCCTTTCTTTGCTTCAACAGTAAGATCCCTAAAGTAGGACCCCCGCTACAAGCGCCGTTCAGAGACTACCTGGAGAAGCAGAAACACAAGCTGCATCACAAACCAGGGGAATCTGTCACTCAGGTAATTTGAGCAAAGTGGGGTTGTCTTCAGTCTAGGTATTAAGAGTAGGTGCTTGCACAGCGAGCTTCTGTGATATGCGTGCCGATTCGGCGATAAATCATCATCATGGCTAGGCTTTATGAAGGTTGTCCACGTCGAATGCAGGCACGCTGATGGCTTAGGAGACCTATCCGGAGAGACAGATCCTACTGCAGCGACTGCAGATAAAAGATTGGTCATTGGGCTTGGCCGGGGTTTTTTTTCCATGGTCTCTCTTGTCCTCAGCAATCTTCCTTCTGTTAGTCTCGAAAGGCAGAGACTACATTTCTCACTTGTCCCCTCCATGCAGTTCAGTTCGGAGCCTGCTCTAGCCATTGACTATGGTCAGTGTTGCAGGCCTTTAGTGAAGATAAATAATGCAAAAACCAGACTGCGTCTTGGCCACCAGATTCTGACCATTCAGCAGGCGCCTTCTATCAGGTCTTTGGTAACCCGCTGTTGTATTACAGAAACATGGCAGCCAATTGACCAATAAACAGCTCGGGCCAAATTTCTGCTCATGACGTCACTATAGCACGTGTAGTAGCGTAGCTGCTGAAAATTCCCCAGCATTTGCATTCAGTTTTACTCTGCCTCAGGTAACTTGAAGATTAAAGGTGATGCCCCATGCCTTTCAAAATATGGATTTCTCTCCAAACGAATTTTGAATTTGTATGCTTTGTTTTGGTGAAAAACACTACTTTTATGCCAATTTTGGGCTTCTGCTACTCTCTGATAATGGGCTTTCATTTTGTGCACAAATAACCCACCCTGCGAGAGTCTGGCAGCCAATAATTCCAATTTTGTGAAGAAATCATTGAATAACTTCAAACGTCAGTGAATTTTTTGGACCAATGCCTCGTGCAAAAGTGAATAACGTTTACATTGCTAGGAAAAAGCAATTGCAATTTGGAGGGGAAACTCAAAATTAGCATCTTTACATGTAATTTGTCATCCCATTAGCGACCGTGGAACACAGTAAATAAAACGCATCTGTATTCCATATGATGACAAAGATTCACTACAGTATTCTATGTTGCACACTTGATCGTGGGATGACATAATTTATTTATGTAGATGCACAATTGACCTATTGCCGTTTGCGAGTTAGCCACGCCCCTTAGACAACCCTATGGAATTTTTGTACCCTTAAGTTTTGTTTGTCTCAGATTTTGCGCGTTCCGCGTCCATTTGTATATTATGTAATTGGACAATATTTCACAGGCTGCGTTGACGCGATTCTAACGCTATTCTACTGCGATAGGTCAATAGTGGTCTCTGGTCAAGAGTAAGTAATGACACTATTTCAGTTGTGAAGCACCTGGAATGCTTTTTTCTCGTTCCTCTTTCAGGGCACCAATTGGCTGTCTTGGATCTTTGAGAAGCTGATCATCATCATGGTAGTCTACTTTGTCATATCCATCGTCAACTCCCTCGCGCAGCGGTATGCAAAGCGGTTACACGATAAGAAACGGGAGACGCAGAACCACCTTCATGCGCAATGACAACCGACGAAAAGGACCTCCAAGATTTTCTGTTAAACTCAAGCACCGACTCGTTAGAAAAAAATATAGATGAAAAGGTTCAAGTTAGCGTGATTGGAAGGGGACAAAGCAGCGACGTATCAGGGGCGGGGGGTGGGCGCACGCCATCAAAATTTACGCCCCTCCCCAGTCGCCCCCACTGGAATTCAGGCAGATTTTTTTTTCTTTCCTTCTTTTTGGAGAGTCTTCTTTTGTTGGAAATGGTCCGATTACTTGTTTTCTGGAGCACTGTTTATAGCACTGCTGAGTTGCTTTTTTGATTAACTATTATTTGGCATTTAGCCGGTTAGCCCACAAAATTCCTGCCAATTAATAGCTCTAGTGGGTCCCTTTTGGTAGAAATTCACGAAGGAAATTACAGCTTTTGAGGTAGGAGGAGAACCCAAAACAATATTCCAGGGAAAAATCCAAGGAATCTAATGGGGAATGAAATCCCGAATTCCCGATCCACTTGTTGGCCTGGGTAGTATTCGAACCTGAGCCACAGAGTTGGTAGGTAAAGGAAGGGCTATTTTGATTCCAGATAGGTATACCACTGTCACATTACTTAAGCCAAATTAGGAAACTTTCATCATAATGCGTTGATTTTTAATTCAGAAAGAATTTTCAACAACATGTATGATATTTTCCGTATCACCGTGTATTTCTGTCGTGGGTTTTTTGTGGTCTCACGAAGAATCAGCTTACTCAACATTTTGACAAAATGTACTGTTCTTTCAGACATTCTCCTGAAGACATTAGCAAAAGACGAATAGTGCTATGGACCTGGACACTAGTTGACATCCTAGTGAAAAGTAAAAGTAAAGTCCGTCATGAGCTAATTGTAGCCCATCAGGCCGGCGTTTATCCCCGGTTTCAGTAGCATGATACAACTGAGAATATTTCTGTTCCACCTGGACAGGATGCTAGTCCAAAGCATGTTACTCCCCAGCTAATGCCAGTGCCCATCAATACTCCTGGGTGGAGAGAGGCAAATGGGGGTGAAATGGCTTGCCCAAGGAAACAACATATGGCCAGCAGCTGGATAAGTAGCATGAAACGACTGAGAATATTTCTGTTCCGCCTGGACAGGATGCTAGTCCATGGCAGGTTACTCCCCAGCTAATGCCGGTACCCATCAATAATCCTGGGTGGAGAGAGGCAAGTGGGGGTGAAGTGGCTCGCCCAAGGACACAACATATGGCCTGCAGCTGGATTCGAACCCCTGACCCTCTGATCAGGAGTCACAAACCCTAACCACTAGGCCACTCCCCACTGACCCACTGACATCCCAGTATTTTCTTGTCCTCAAACCAATTTAAACTTAAAAAGTTATCTACTGGTGACATTTGAGTTGAAATCAACTTGTGAATTCCGGTTTTCCGTAGCACTTGGTGATAATATAAAAGATACAATGAAATAAATAATGAAATAATGTGGTGATGGGATAACTACATCTCAACAATAGTTTGTACATATTGCATTTATTACATAAGGGCACTAGCGCCTAACTATACACCCAGGGAAAAACCTTCCTGTTGTCACTATAGGCCCAAAAGGGAGCATAGAAAAGTCACTAGTGCCTGAATTCATTGTGAACCGCCATTTATTTCAGTACTTTACATGTACTTGGCAAATATTGCTCCATGCAGTGACCAAGGCAATGACGTAATGTGTGAGTATTTTGCACTTGTATGCAAAATTGACATACTTTTTGCATATTAATGAACCCCATGTGACTTTGCAACAGCCAACCACGGTAAGGAGAAGACAAAAGCTGTGCTGAAATCAACTATTGTCATTACAGAACCTTTGTTAATTTAAGTTGATAATTCTATGTGCAAGTGACAATATATTGTTATCAAGAACTCAGAAGATATTTTGGTTGCTGATGCTAATTGTTCAAAAGTGCTGAGCACTGTGCCACCCGATATATTGCAGCTGCAGACTTGTGTAATTATTTGATAATTGATGTCTACTAATTTGTATTATTATCTTACATTTTATTTACTGGATTAATGAATTTTGTATCAATTTTCAAGTCGAAACTTCAATCTCTTAACCCCATGCGCTCGGGAAGCGGTCATGGCCGCGGCCGCTAATCCTCATTGGAATGCAGTTGCCAGCTGTGGTATGCCTGTCACACGGCTAGTGGGTAGTTCCACAGCTGCTGCTTTTGTGCAGTCCCGCTACCACACAAAGGCTGTGCAGTCATGCGGGCCACTTGCACTATGTGTGGAGGAATGTCCCCATTATAACCCGTGCTTAAGGGGTTAACATAGATGACATCATCAGGGGGCCCACTTCATGTAAATATCTGCTCAGTTACCTCGCGCCTGCATATTACATCCCTGCTGAGGAGATTATGCAGTATTCCACCAGAACCAGAATTGTGTATATTCTCACTAAAGGACCAGTTTCACTGTGTTACTGAAACTGAGTTTTAAGTTATGAGCAGAGGCGTCATGGCGCAAGTGTGGCCACTCATCCCATGGGAAAAATCCCAAAATGACTGCAGAAAAATTTCCAAGATTTCCCAAGATATCAGCATTTTGTATCAAATAGCGGTGCAGACCCTATTTTTATGTGCATTGTGCTCAGAAAGTGCATCAATTTACGTTTTGCGCATGCCCAATCCATACTTTTCTGTGCTTCTCAAAATGCAAACAATCCCAAGGCTCAGCGAAATGTTCCCAAGTTCTGGCCTAAAGTCCCAAGATCTTTTGAGAAATCCCAAGGATCGAGTTGCCACGCTGCATGGAGCTGCTAAGCTGTTTATTTAGTAAGCACAAAGAAATGTGCTTTAAAAACAGATCACCAGCCAAAATGACCGGGGAAGTTGATTGCATGTGATTGGCCCCCTGCAAAAATATGCTTGGCGACCATTTCTGCATAGCAGCTTCGTGAAATGGGTCCAGGATTTTGTTGATGACTTACGATTCATAAATACCTGAGATGAGACAGTTTACCCATTCCTATAGATGGAAGGCCTGTCATGCGAGTGGTTCTAAACCGCCGGTAACTGACACCGCTGTGTTCTGCGCCACCCGCGCAGAACGCGCCGCGCGCGCACGCCAATTTCCTTATAAGGAGATTTTTAGCACTACGTACGCACCCGAGGCACATACCATAGACATGGCCAGAGGGGTGTTTCACAAAACATGAAGTAAAACTGTTGAACAAAATCGTTGAAAATTTGTGAATATTTGACTTGTTTTGATTTTTGTACGGAAAGGTATTGATGAATGGTAATAAATATTTGGTTTGCGTGGATTAAACAAGTGCGTGGATTAAACAAGTACGTTTAAAACCAGCTTGGTACGGGGCCTGGACGTGGATAATGACCCTCGCCTTCTCGGCGCGGGTCATTATCCACGTCCAGGCCCCTAGCCAGTTTTAAACGTACTTATTTAATCCACGCAAACCACATATTAATTTTATTCCTTTAAGACAAATTGTGAAATTTATATAAATGTTAAGCTGAAAAAAATGTTAAGTATATAGGCAAATATTTCGCTTAAAATCTGAGGGTTTTTTTTTAAGGGTAGGGTCCTTATAGATTTTCTTGGGTTAAAAGGCACTCATTCCCTCCAAAGCAATTCATCATTCCCAAACATTAATGGTTTGCTGCTTACCAACAATCCAAAAGATATTGTTCTGGGCTCGTTTTGTTTTCTTTTCTTTTATTCATAATCGAATCAACGCATATCATTATTTCTCGGCTGTTTAAAAATCTGTTACACAATCTTTTCAAGATGTGTTGAAGTTTTTGTTATGGTATGTTAACTTGTGTGTCCTTGCTAAGCACATTTATTCAGAGGGTGGACTGAAGACGTGAGATATTTTATTAAACTACCAAAAAAAATGTTTGTGCTTGGTCAATTTTGTCCGAGTAGCTTTTGTGTTTGATTTCATCCTCTGGGTTTACTGCTTATGAAAGTGATATTCGTTTCACGTACAGCATTTAAGGCAATAATTGATGTCACAGTGTATGTAATAGGTGGGCGTGGACATCCGGGGAATTTTTTTTCACATTGGCTTATCTAGCTCCCAGACCTATGTTCTTGAAAGTAAATGGTTCTTGAGTCTGGAGTGCTGAACGGTAACACGTAGCAACCAGTGAAAACTGGTGTGATTAATGTTTTCATGGGATGATGTCACTCCGCCCCGATCTATACAGTGCAAGTTTTGCAAAATTTTAGTTGAGTTTTGGCCAATGTCCTTCAGTTAACTTTGTTTTTGTTGCACAGTTTTTGTAATTGCATTTTTTTTTTAAACGTAGTATTAAATGCATCGTCATTTTGTTGAATATAGGACAATTAAACTGATCATTTGTTGCTTTCCACTGTATGTGGTTGTATTCGGTTAATGATATAGTTTGTTTGTGAATTCAGGAAAACGTGCACTATCAAATGGATCAACTTCAAAATTAAATGTATCCTTTGACACACATTGATATATACTAAACCCAAGTTAAAAGAGTTGCTGAAGAAATAAATATGCCAGAACAAAAAATCTATTAGCAACAGCGTGTGTTTCAATTTTGTTAACATTACAGTAAGTTTGTGTATAGGCCTATGAATGCACTTTGTTTTTGTTGAAAAAAAAATGTCACTTGTGTTTTTACAGGTAAAGTTATACGATGATTTGATGACACTTTTTTTTAGACAATGCCTACTAAGGAAAATACCTCCTTACAATAATGCAGCTGTCGCTAGTGTGTGGAGGGTAAGTATTATGGAATACCCCCTTGCACAGCAAGGGTTTATGACTCTGCTATTAATTATGACCTCTTGACATAATCTTGACCTCGATATTCTGACCATTCAGCGGGCCCCTGATACATCGGTTCTTCGGTTACCCGTTGTTGTATTACAAAACATGACATCCACATCGACCAATCAACAGTTTGGTCCATATTTCTGATCGAAATGACGTCAGAGTTTCGAAAGTCGACTCAGATTGGCTGGCGCGCGGGGTCGCATACAATTTAGGATGCATGTATATCAGACGTCCGACCGTGGCTTTCTGCACACGTAAAATGTCTGGTCCTCAAACTAGGGTGGTGACCCTCCCTCCAAACAAACACTCATTATCTTTATTATGACTCTTTCCAAGAAGCGATAGTTACTTTCGCAAACCTTTTTGGTATATCCTTTTTCTGTGAAATGAGGTCCACCAAATTAATCTTATTGTTTTAGTTCAGAATCCACTTATAAAGTACTTTTGTGTCTTAGCTACATCTATAGTGTTAACTTTTAAGCGCCTACTTGTGTTTTGTGGTCAAAACATTTTTCTCACATTACCAAATGCTGGGTCATTCTTCGTTCCAGTTTTGGTACCATTTTCAAAAATTGACTCGAACAATTTAAAGCAATTAACTTTCTAGTTTATTTCTCAACTAGCCACGAGTACATTGAAAATTTAGGGACGCGAAATAAAGGAAAGCTGGGTCTTTAATTGCCGAGCCAGTCTTTTAAAATGCTTAGTAAAATTGTCACCGGCGCTTACAGTTTTATGGCGTGCAAAGTGCAACCCCGAAATCAAGATCCCCTCTACTTTCCAAGCTCTATGTTCTAATCAAGATACATGATCTCATTTTCTAATCGAGATATCTCTACTTCGAATAAAGATATCTCTATTCCGAATCGAGATATCTGTATTTGGAATCGAGATATTCTCTATCTCAAATCAAGATACATGTATTGCTATTTCTGATAGAGATATCTGCAGGGGCATAGCAAGGTAATTTTCATTGGGGGGACACAAATGGGCACTTGCGCACCCATGCTGAAAATGTAAACAATTCTTTCTTCGTACTCTTTGCCTCCGTAAAATCAAGGGGGGGGGGGGCTGGTACCATCGGACAGTGGGGGCGCTGTTCAAAACCGACGGTTATGCACACCAATGGACAATAAACGGCGCTTTTCATGGCGATACATGCGCAAAATTTAAAAATGCACAAATTTCATGCACAAATGCGTGTTCAGCAAAAAACACTTGCTAACAAAAGAAGGGTACTCTGTACATATGGGGGGGGGGGTTGTAAGCGTTGAGCAAAAAAGGCATTTGAATGGAAAAGGACAGTCTTTGCAAAATATAAGGGGTGACTAAGCCCCCCTCCCCCCCCCCCCCCACCCCCAACTGGCGTATACGCCTATGATCTGTATTTCAGGAACGGTTCACACCAAGCTTTATGATCCACGAAGCGTCAAGTTTTAAAAGTATTATTCTTCATTATTTTTCCAAGATTAGGTGATCACCAGAGTTTCAGAAATATAATTTGCAAATAAAACGTAGGCCTAATTTGAAGGTTTAGAAATAGAAATAAGAAATAATCTTTATATTTATGTCAGGATGCCAGTCATCAGGCACAGTGAAACAGTTGTGATTGGTCAGTGCTTTGAGGCGTAGACCTATAATCTCGACATAATTATGTTTGTGATTGGTCAATATCATGATATTAATATTCATGAGTAACAAGACTGTGTGAGAAAGCTATTCACTAAATTTCTGATATAAAATGAGGAGGAATTAAAGTTGCAACTGGCTCTTGGACCCATAGGTTTGTGCACAAATTACCTGGTTTGTTTGTCATCCAATCCCAAGATGCATTGCGAATATCGAAAATGTTTATTTCGGGGGTACTTTTGTCCCCCAAAAATCGAGATGTTCATTGCTAGTCGTAATTTCAGCCGCACAGTGCATGGTCGCCTTCTGTAAGAAACAACGTGTGTTTTAGTGTTGTAATTAATTTTATGTGACACACACAACGTGTACTGTGCATTGAATCGTGGAGCTGTAATGAAAACGACAGGAAAAACGTATGCGTACCCCGTCGTGTCCGATGTAAACAACCGGGGGTTTTTTGTGGGGT